AGAAATGTCTTGTAAGTCATGAGCGCGTTGTTAATATTGTCTTGTATTTCCGCTGCAAAATCCTGAAATTCCTTGCTTTCTTTTTCTCTGGGATTCCTCGTTATTGTCTCACTGAACCTTTTAAAACTTTTTTCTAGATTTCGAGTTGGCGGCGAAATTGAGTTTCAAAGGACTTAACAGAAACTGTTTGTGTGCTTGTTGGCTGTTGCAGCTTTGTAGAAAAGGCAGTTCTGGAAACCAGACTCATAGAAAATGTAACAGGCTAATGTGTACCAGATGACCAAGATGTACTTTTAGATAATCTTGAGTTTTGCGTTATCTTGGCCTTTGAGGAAGTTACAGGACGTAATGAAGCAATTTCAGTACTTAATGACGGGGATGTAATCGTTCATTGGCGTGAACAAGGAGAAGTGATGGAAGCCACTAAACTTTCTGATGGAATTTTGGTCTGAGATAACGATGATACACCGCTGATGGAACTTGAAAAACTTGCTGATTTACTTTTAATCTTCTGACCTATAAAAGCAACAAAGTTTATCTTTTGATTTATGTGATCACCTCTGTACGGTACGTTACCCCTTTACCTATTACCTACACCGCACAGCTTTATCCCATACCTCTAACACTCACACACTACCCCGCCCCTTCCCTCCTCACTCCTTCACCATCGAGATAGACACAAATGTCCAACTCTAGCCACAACATTCCTTTTTTATTTTGGTCATCCTTTGTCCTACACCTCTAAAGGTGTAAAAGTATGGAACGGTCTAACAGAGTAAGGATTATGTCACCATGCTTCTCCCTCATCACTGAACCCTTGTAACTCTTCACTTAGCTTTGCCTCAGATCTCTAGGGGTGTGAAAGTGTGGAATGGTCTGACAAAGTAAGGATTATGTTATGCTTCTCCCTTGTCACTGAACCCTTGTAATTCTTTACTTTGCTTCACATTTCTAGAGGTGTGGAATTGTCTGTAGTCTGATAGAGAAACGATTATGTTGCACTTCTCACCATCATGAATCCCTTCAGTCATTCTTGACTTATCGATTGCTTAGTTCCAAACTTTTAGGTGTGTGGAAGTGTGGAATAGTCTGACAACAAGTAAGAATAATTTACCATACAGTCTCGATTGCAAACAGAAAAGTTGACTAGGAGTTCACAAAGCGGGATGTATGTTTATCTATAGTTATCCTTAGCTTGTAACAAGGAAATCCGCATGGGACATTTTGTGGGAAAACTTGAAACTATACGCTTTACTTGGCTATTAGATGGAACTGTCATGATTGGTCTTAACGGTAAACAATAAATCCTTTCAAAACGGGGGTTTAAAGACATTTTATTCAGTAAACTGCTCTTCTGCAGTTTGATGCATTCCCCTTGTGTAAATGAATACATTCTTGTGAGGGAAGAGAGCATTACCGCATAAAACAAGAAAATGCAACAGTTCTGACCATAGATCATCACTTAATTATTGATCCAGAACTGACTTTGTTGCCATGAATTATTGCTGTGACAAGCGATACTAAATATAACATTAAAGCCTGCCGTATTCAGCCAAGAAACGAAATGGAAATGTACGTCCACTACACGTAATTCCACCTACCGATTTACTTGTTTCATTTCTGATTGACGCAATTGCATGATAGCGAATATTCATTATTTCTACTTTTCTTCCTATTTTCGTCCTTTTTTCTACTTCTCTTTGTCTCTTTTCTGTTTCTTTTTCTTTTTAAGGCATATTTTGAAAGAACTTTTACCTTTAAAAACATTGGATTTGAGAGCTCTCTTACGCAAAAGCGTTTTAAAGCGACGGAAGGGAACGGAAAGTGCACGATTTGCGTTCTTGGGCATAGGTTTTCCTCAAATCGTCTCTAAAAAAGGGTAAAAGAACTTGACAATACAATTGTGCTAGAGTCAAGGAATATTAAAAGGGAACGTTGAGTTGTCGTCTGTCGCTCAAAGACGCCTCTGCTTAAGCTCACTAACTGTTGGTGAAGTCGTTTAGTATTTTCTGTGGTAATCAGCTCATCATGAGGATGTTGATGGCAGGGTGTCCAGTTCCTAGTTTTTCCTATTTTTTGAGCATATTCCTATTTTAAAATAAAAACCTCCTATTTTTCCTCTTTTTTAGTTAGTGAAGCCAAAATTGACAATGGGATTATAGTTGTATTGTGTTTTAAAGTGAGCTTTATCATAAAGCAAGTAGTATGTTGACTTTGGTGTTCTAATATTAGCAAAAATAATATTAGTTACATTACATTTGCTCTTTCCATGACCTCTATTGCCCAGTAGAGTTCTGGTTCTGGTTATAATTATTGTTACTTTTTGTATAATTTTCTAGTGCACCTACATGTACATGCATTGTATAAAATGTTATAGTTCTCATGATTATTGAATAATATTGTACATAGCCCACTGAAACTGCATTTCAGTCTCTGAACACTTCATGATGTAATTATTTTGAAGTCTTGCTCCCTTTTATGTTCATCTTTGAAACTGAAAAGATGATCAAGTTGCCCTTTAACAACACAGATCAGATAAATCATCCAATCAGCTTCTTGTTTAAAGAACCAATCAACAGCTGGATTCTGTATGCTACTCGAAAAGAACAGACTCAAGTTTAGTTTACGGCACTAGCTCTCTTGGTGAGCTCTTGTTCTCAGCTATTCCTAAGCAACTGGCAAAGGATTCAATATTTTGGTTCCGAAACTGTTCTTGCAATCACAGCTAAGCAGAGTGTTACGTTCCTCTTAGAACTTAACCATAACACACTTACAATCTGGTACCAAACAGATCAGTGTCATTTTGCATACACCGCGGAAAGCTTGGTTTGGTACTTAAAATGATGCGGTCTTTTAACTCAATCAATCATATTCTCAACCAGCTACCGATTGTAGATTAATGGAAGGAAAGCTTTCCATGGGACTTTTTAGTTCAATATCCTTTAATGACAATCGTAAGAAATTTCTATCCTAAGAAATTTCACTCTTTGAAGCTTTTCAAAGATTTGCCGCCAACTTGAAGGGAATTGTCATATGATCACCTTTGAACAACCGCGCTGGACCTGTAGTCAAGAATGTCATTCTGATTACAGCGTAACTGAGCCAAAAAACTAAACGTTACTGATCTTTTTCACTCCTTCTAAGCCACGAAAGTTGGTTTAAATCCTGCAAACGTAAAGGCTAAGGACTCGTGGCCTTTATTATAGCCCTGATGGGGAGCAGGGAGGCTATCTATGTCGACGAAAGGACTATTGATTTTCCTATTTTCCTAATTTCCTATTTTCTGAATGCCGAGTTTCCTATTTTCCTATTTTTTTGAGCAACCATGCCGCTGGACACCCTGTGATGGTTTTCACTGACAAGTCATCAAAGACTATGAAACCATTGACTGAAACCATTTAATACCTGGCCTCAAGCCACGACTTTAAGTTATTATCGAACACTGATGAATAAACACTATATCTAAGTCTCAGGTCTGTGCGGTTTTCCACTGCTAATAAGTTATTCTCCAAATGTTTTACAAAAATTTATAGGACAAGCGGCCAACCAAACTTCAGAGAAGCAATATGTGCCGCCCTGTTCTTCTAATGCGGCCCCTGAGAAACAAATTTGGAGGCTGCAATTACTGCAAAATCTAGTGTCAAGTCTTGCCACGAATGTGATTAGTTAGCAAATGCTCACCTTAACATATTTCTAAAAATGTCGTACGACAAATCGTGTTTTTTTTTTTACAAACGTGACAGCTTTGTCAGTTGCATTTTTAATGTCGCACGAGAACAAGGGCTTTATTTTCAAAACTGAGAAACCCGTCAGCCCTAAAACTCGTGAAAAGGTCCGATTTTTTGTTAAAGTTATAGGCTTGTTGAGGATGAAACCTTAAAAAAACCCTACTACTGTGATGCGTTAGACTTACAAGTATGAATTTTAAAGCATCATTTCTGTCCTTGTGTAATATATTGAGTGTCAATATAAGATATAGGGATATAAACTTAGGGAAAAATTGCTTTCAGTGGATTATTAACTGTTTGTTATTCCATTTCAATATGCAATTTTACTACTGTAAGTACTGTTTTAAAATATATTTTCTCATGTTGTTGTTATGTTAACTAACCTAAGCCCATTTTTCTAACTCACCTTGACAAAGGAATGCATGAAAAATCCACGTTACTGTAATAACAGAAACGAGATTCGTGCGTTGTAATCGCTTCATTTCCATTTTTCAGCCAGAGAGGTAAAGAAATGACCGGTTTTCTCTGGAGGCAAACCATAAAGAGACGTTTCTTGGGTAAATATGGCGTGCTCAGATTGCTAAGGGGCCTACGAATTTGATCGAATTCTGCTTATTGCTGGTAATAGTCGAAGATAACGGAGTGCGTTAGACCGTTATCGATCCCAAGTTCTCTCCCCCTTGTCAAGTCGCTGACAGATGTGCGGTTTCTGGTTTCGGTCAAGTCTTTATAGTGACCCGCCCTTTTTTATCGCGGCTTCGGCCTTCGGTCGAAAATGTGTCGACCACTAGGCCTTTCCAGATTCTGCTCCGAAAACGCTAAAAAGTTGCTAAGATATATGCCAAAAAGTTGCTCAAAAGTTGCTCAAAATTGAAAAAGTTGCTCAAAAATTTTGTAAAGTTGCTCGAATATTTTTAAGACAGCATGCCTAATTTTAATAACAATTGCTTTGTAATCAACATTAAGGTACAACTAAGAAACTAGTTACAACAAATTAGGCAACCGCGCCCCCCACGAAAAGGGAAAAGCCCTGGGAACGAGGTTGAGGCTACCTAAACCCAATTCTTGCGATAAATTACGACGTCCACTTGATACCCATTCAAAGGGTAAAAATATGAGTTTTACTAGAAAGATGTTTAGAATTTTAACCAAGAGAATTTTAACTTGTTTACTAAAAAAAGGGGGATTATTCAGCATTTTGGTTCAAAATAGCCCAAAAGTTGCCAAAAAATGTGCTAGTTTTCCGAAAAGTTGCTAGAAGTTGCTCTGTGACAAAAAAGTTGCTCAAAATCCTAAAAGTTACTAAAAAGTTGCCCAGCAGAATCTGGAAAGGCCACTCGACCACGACACCGAAGAATCCCGCCCTAAGCGAGAAAAATCTCTGGTACGTCATCTAAGTAGAATCACGTGACACCCACAACACCATATACCCCTATACTAATCTTGTACCCAGATCTCACTCTGTTTTACATTACCTCTATACAACACCATATAGCAGAATGTAGACTGAGAAAATGCTAGCCGTAATGCGCATTGATATAGTTTTGAAGGCTATAAAATTCAATAGTTTTCCTCCACCACCATCACTTTCCTATTGTGTTTCTCCGCCACCGCCACGACCACATTTCTATTGTTTTCCATCCACCACCCCACCACCACCACCGCCACCACATTTCTATTGTTTTCCCTCCACCACCACCACCATACATGGCAAAAATTAACACTAAAATTATCTACCAAAATACCAGTTACGTGACCCAAAGTTCGTTCAATCAGTCAACGACAGTTGTTCCTTGCAATTTCACCCCAATGCATGTTCCAATCTGTATCATGAGTGCGTTCAACTTCGAACGCAATTAAGCATATGCCTGTCAAGTTATGTTTCCATTAGCCATGGTGACAAAAGTGGCGACGTTTTAGCCCGGGGGAGGGGGGGGGGGGGCTCCCATATGAAAGGAGCGGGGATGCTCGTGGGAAATTTTGAATTAACCCCCTAAAGGAGACCAATCTCGGCGTGGCCCAAACCTTTTGTTGACCCCTAAAAGCGATCATTTTAAACTTTGAGTACATGAATCGAGTAAATAAAATGAATTGAAAATATATATTTCTTCGAGTGCAACCCTGAAAGTTATCTCTATGGCTAAATATAATGGTGCGGTTTGCCCAGAACACCCTAAGAGAGACCATAATCTGAAATTTACACCGCTAAGCGAGACGACGAGCATCCTCGCCCTTTTCATATGGGAGTCCTCCCCACCCCCCCCGGGAGTTTTATTTTCATTTGCATGGTGAGTTGCCTAAGCATATACTTGGACAAAAACAAACATGTTTTCTGTGAACACTATTAACAACAGAAGTCGTTCTGTCTGTCTGCTTACTTTTATTGGCCAAGTATCCCACGCAAAACACGGGAACGACAGGAACCTACGGGTAACTAAGAATAGCAATAGGAAAAGCAACGACACAGTTTTTGCTCTCTTCCGCCTCCTCACATCAGAAGGGGAAGGAGTGAAGGAGACAAAAGAAAGTGCCGGAGTTACTAGGCAGTAAGTCCAGTAAGCATGTATGCCTGGTTAAAGGGAGACAGCTACAGAGTAGTAGTTTATAGAATACGTAATGCCTTTAGCGGAGTCACAGTCGATTAATTTTGATGGTTGGTCCGTAACTGGTGTAAAGCAATGTAATAGGTGGCATCACATTTCCGGTCGCTCGTTTGTTGCAGCAAGTAATGTTGTATACTGCTCCTTGTCTGTCCTACGGTCAGTCTTTGTCTTCGACGCTTGTAAGAAAATCTCGTCGAGTTTGTACTAAACAGTAATTTAGAATAGGAGCTAACGTGGCGTAACCAGAGAGGTATTGCTCGGGTGTAGTGAGCAACTTGGGCTTGTTCCTCGATGTTTTCGAGGTACTTTTACTGTAATGGTAAACATTACAATCAGTTACACGGAACAGTCAAGGGCTCTCCAATTTCTGTTGTTGTAACAGCAATTTTTATGCAAAACATCGAGGAGGAACACGCCCTTGCTACCTATACACGAACCATACTACCTGAAAGAAAGAGGAGTAAGAAGATACGTGTGCAACCAAGCATACCTCATGGTCACGTATACTCAATACGTTCAATCAATGTCAATTCTAGGCAATTCTAACAAAGTTTAAAAATCTCTTGTTTTAATTTCTGAAAAAGCTCGCTAGGTCAAACTCAGCCCCACCCAAGAGCTTGAAATTCCCAATAGCAGTTCTACGATATAAGCTAACATTATAGATTAACACGGGGACCCCAGTAAACTCCGGATCTTAGAGAGGAAGCTGTTAATGTTTATTTGCGCTATAACAATCTTAAGGTGGAAAGAGAAGATACACCGCTGTTGCAAAAAGCGTAAAAATTATTCTTTAGAAGCGTCAGGCCGGAATAAAATGCAAAGTCAGCAAACGTCGGGGCGTTTAATCGAGAAAATACGGTATACTAAACTAAGTTTTTTCCCTCGTTTTATGCGCTCGTTATTTCAGCTTCCTAGGTTTTGAAACATAAACAGCCCGAAGCCTTATTTGTTGTCTCTTTTCCCACTTGCAATCACTGATAATGACATCTTTGAAAAAGTATACAGGCAAGATTGTTCTTTATGGAAGAGACCAGTGGACATCACTGGTTTGCTAAAGCTGATGTAAATGTGCATTGACTCAAGCTTCTGATTGTATAAATTACCTTATTTCCTTTTCTTAGTCACCAGCTTGTATTGTTGTTGTTGTTGTTTTGAAAAAGTTGGTGGGCGAAGCTACATGTATAGGAAGGGGTTTCCCTCGCCGCCCCCTCGTGATTTTTGGCCTCCTTCCCCCTAATGGGGAGCCTGTTCGCAGGCTACATAAACCCTAGTCCGATCCGCAGGAAATGTGCTAGCCTAATTTGCCAGTTATAAAGCAGGTACATTTGTTAATGAAATGCGTTACACGTTCAACAATTCTCATAATTATTTTGTTTCACAATTTTAAACAAAACATAACCATGAAAATTTATTGAACTCCCAGAATCTATCAGGCTTCCCTCACTTGTAATAACCCCCCATGTAAAAATCCCCCAGTCCACACGAACTATAAAAGAATTGCCCCTAGGAGGGCCTAAAGGGAGCAAAAAGGGCAAGCCAAGTGTAACGTAAACTTTTTACAACTGCCGCTCCCCTATTTTGGGCTGGGCTTATTTGTCAGTACGGTTGGTTTTCCAAATAACACATTTATTCTCTATGGTAGCTACTTATGCGGCCTTCGATATTTATAACTTTGGATTTTTTGAGCCAATTTGAATAGCTTTTTAGACTGAGGCAACATTTCTACCGTATTTTCTCGATTAAAAGCCGCTCGCCGATAAACAGCTCTCCTAGTCAGATGAATTCGGCTGTTATTCAAGGATTATAAGCAAGAACCAGCAACAGGAGATAGGTACGACATGGTAATCTACACCATGCAGTCAAAAATGATTCTATCTCTGCATCTTTCTGTTTTACATAATATTTATAAACGATTTATCGTTATCATTTTCAGTGACTTAAGAAATTTGATTTTGAAAAAATTACTGAAAATTTGATAAACGCCGCAGTGTTTAATCGAGTAAATACGGTAGTTCGTACCAATAGGAATTTATTAATAGTAACCTGGCCTTGCTTATCGGGTCTACAAAAGACAAATTATTATAAATGCTTTTAAATACTAGGATTAAGGGTTATTAAATGCTTGCATCTATTCCTCCATTCTCGATTCACTTAGGAATGAGGTCCTGTAAAAAAAATAAACAGATTCATAGAACATGAGTCTTTGAATGAGCACTTAGCCATTTGTATACAGTGCAGTACTCCAGGGGGGTGTACTTCCTTATAAGAGGCTTATGGGGAAGTGCCGCTCGATGGGGGTCGCATTTTCACGACTGGATTGACTACAATGGGGCCGCATTTTCAATAGATTTACTAGAATGAGGTCGCACATTTTCGGATTTTTTGGGGTAAGACAGGTCTTCATATCTACGGTTAGCAAGCGTACCAGAATGTTTGCACTGCAGATGAAACCGGTAAAGTGTTTTTCTTTCCATTTAAAAAATGGGTCAATTCATAAAAATAAAGTAATTAAGTTGAGATCGCCAAAATTACATATTTTCCCAAAAGTGTTTGCGTTTATTGGTGTTTTGGTGGGGTTTATAATTGGCCACAAAATAGACTAGGGGCTCTGAGAGGCCAGCGGCACATACCCAGCAAAAATCAACCCAAGTGCCCCCCTTGGGGGGCAGTACTTGACAGTCGAATAGTAAACTGAACAATAACGGATAAAAACCAAACTGGCTCCAGGCAGACCAGTTTGTTCTCAGTCTACACAAGAGAGATTGAGCTACAAGCCTCTCCAAGGAGTTGAAATTTGCTGTGACGCAACACACTCTGGCATGCAGAGTGCAAGTTTAATTTTTGTCCTGAGGTCCGTTTCTTCTCTTGTTTAAATCAACCAAATCTATTCCAGTCAAGTTAGTTCTGCAGTGCAAGACAGCTGGTCTCGTGGACTTAACCAATGAGGTGGTCAACGACTCATACCGATTCCCGATTTTGTTGAAATTTTGAAGGTCACCATTTATACACCCTCTTTTTCAGTTGGAACTAGCCAACTGTAACAAAAATTGGCACCGGGAAAAATGGTGTGAAACTGACTGGGCAAAGAAACGACAAAAATGCCCATAGTAACGGATTGGTTGCAGACAGAACAATCTAACTTTCTACAGACAAATGTTCATCAAGCTATACACAATAAACCAGTCTAAAGCGCAAATTTTGTTTTGTTACCTTTCAGTTGGCTCACTGTTGCGGTGGTGAATGGTCGGCGATCCTGGGTTTACATCCTTTAAAGGCATATCCTCCTTATCATGGTTGGGTAAGTCTGCAGACCCACTCGTTAACCTTTTATAAATCTACAAAGGATCAAAATGAAATAAAGACGTGCCAAGAGCCTGTTCTAGACTCTTTCGATAGTGTTGATGATCGACTAAGCGCTCTGTTTTAATAATGGCGTATCTAAATATGTCAGATGTTATCACATTACTTGTATTACTTCGGGTTCCGACACAAGGTTAAGGGGGCAGTGTCCAGTCACTTTTGACCACTTTAATAATTAGCAATGTCACAGAAGCTCCCCAATAGTGCCATAATCATGGGAGTACCTACCGATTAACAGGCAAAAAATACGGTTCCTAAATGGCGATATCCTGAAGGCAAAAACGGAAATAGAACACGACTACACACAGGTTATATTGGCGATCTCAATTGTTTTTTTATCCGTCTTACAGCTTATTTAAGAAAGGTTGTCATGAGAAAAATTGTGTACTCAAGAGTGCCAAATGACTGGCTTAGCGTTTTAATCGAACGGAAACCATAACAACGAGGAAAGGTCGAAACATTGCAGAGGTAACAAGTTGTCAAGAGTCACTGATTATAATTATCCCAGATTACGCAGTACGGCATTTTTCGCGTACGCTTTAGTTGCACAGTTTTATATGAAAACGTGTTGAGACTTGCGTCTTCGAGTATAGGACTTTGGTATATTTCCGGCTAAGGCTTGCGAAGCATCTTTCAAGACCTAGCTCCAAAATGCCTAATATCAGACCTACGTTATACACAAAAATAGTGGTGCTCTGAGTTACCTTGACGGATAATTATAACGGCGCATTACTAAGATTTTGTCCCATCGAGTTTATTGGGGATCTCAAGCAACCAGAACGTTGACATCACGGACTTCAAAAATGGTAACCGGAATTTGATATTTTCACTTTTCATTGCGCTGGCTGGACAAATTCGTACAGCGGGAGTTAAAACAAAGGCATTGAGATTCGTTGTGTGAGACGGAAGTGTTCCATTAAGCTAGTCATCGAACTTCCGGTTGCTATCTATGACATCCGGGACGTCAGCTTTCTCGTTGCTTCAACTCGCCATTATCTTCATGGGAGGTTGAACATTTTTTGGGAGAAAACCCTGGTACTCGAGGTGGAATAAATATCTCACACTCTTGGCTAGTAGACAGTTCGTGGGTATAAAACTACGAAACTTATAAAGGCATAAACTTTACATTATTCTTACCACATAAATAATTATGAATATAACCAGTAGAAGAACTCCAAACACAGCAATGATAGCAGTCGCCCACGCTGGCCAGTTATTTTCTTCAGGCTTGGTCGCCTTCCCTGTTTGCGGTTGCTCCACATTAACATCTTTAAAGGTGTATTTACCTGCCTTTCCATTCTTACTTGCCTCCGTCAGTACGCCTTTTATTTCATCTCCCGATACTTTCGATTCCTCCGTGATGACGTTAAATACGCATATAACACTTCCTTTGCGGAAGCTAATAATTTCCACCCGAAGAAAACCTGGCACCTTTTTGAAAATGTCAGTGAGAATATTAGTCAGTTCTTTAGACAATTTCTTGAATTGCTCGCTGTTTTTGTCAGCAAGTTCTTCAGTGTATACGTCGTTTGCTATCGTCAGTGTTACGCGGAACACAGCACCCTTTTCCGTGATTTTCGTGGTAGGTGTTTCAGTCGGTCCGGTTGTTTTTCGCTGCACCTTAATATCTTTAAAAGTGTATTTACTACGTTCATAACTTAACAATTCTTTAATCTCCTTCTCTGATACTGTCGATTCCCTTTTTGTTCGGAGGTTAAATGTGCATATTATGCTTCCCCTTTGGAACCGCACAACTTCCACGCTTAGAAACCCTGGTAACCTGCCATCGAAAATCTTAGTGAGCACTTCAGCGACGTCTTTTGACAAGCTCTTGAATTCTTTGCTTGAAACGTTACCAAGTTCATCAGTATACTCCTTGTTTTGAATTGCTGCTGTTACTTGAAAAACAACATCGTCCTTCGTAGGTTTCTTAGTCGTCGTTTTCTCGGTGGTTGAAATAGTGGTTGTGGATGTAACCCCACTGGATTGGCTGGGACTTGGCTCAGTTTGAGTTTTAAAGGACGTAGCAGAGGTTGTAGATACGCTTGTTGGTTGTGGCGACTTTGAGATAGGGGCAGTCCTGGACAACAGACTAGAAGATGTAACATCCATATCCATGCTGAAGGACCTGGATGCCCTTGCAGATAATCTTAAGATCTGACTGGTCTTGGCTTTTGAGGAAGTCTCTGAACGTATTGAAGCAATTCCGGTACTTAATGAAGGCTTCATGCTACTCCATTGGCCTGAAGGAGGAGAGGAGACGGAAGCGACTGAACGTGCTGTTTCAATTACTGTTATGGGTGACGATACACTACTGACGGGACTCGAAAAACTTGGCAATGTAATTTCAGTGCTGTTGGAGGAAGGAACAGTTACCTCTTGCTTTGTACTTGATACAGTTTGGGTAGTTAGTAAACTGAAAGATTGTGACGAGGTTGATTTGATACTTGAAGATGGCGAAAAACTACTAGACTGTCTTTGGCTCGTCGAAGATGTGGAACTTTCGGTACTTACTGAAGTAGTCTTAACATCTACCGAGGTTACAATAGCAGATCTAGTTTGGATCAACGAGGGAATGGAAATCATAGCACTCGACATTGAAACCCCAGTCCTGGAAGGCACTCTTGCACTAACGTATTGACTTGTTTTCTGTAATGTTAAAGAAGCCGTGGAAACAACTTCACTACTTAATGGCGAAGGTACAGTGGATGAAAGGTCACCGCTCACTGAAGTCTTTGATGGTAAAGAACTTAACGACAGTGCTGTGCTAGTGGATGTACTCGGTAGGGACACAAAACTTAGTGTTGCTTTTACAGTAGTGACAGTGGGCCGTACGCTTGTTGATGGACTTGGGATCTTCGCAGTTTGGTCCTTGGTGAAATTCTGAGCACTGAAGAGCGGCAAGATTTGGCTTGATAGTGATAGTGTGGCATGTACAGTACTAAGGGATAGCGATTCTTTCTTGGATGGGCTCATGTCTATTGAAGTACGAGTTTTCTCAGTGGGTTTGGTAGGTGTTTTTTTGTCCGTAACTGCCATAGTTGTTGGCATCTCTGCGTCCACTACTGTGACATCGGTTAGTTTCAGACTTCCACTGCTATTTTCAAGTGATACTTTTATCGTTTCTTTGGTGATATCCGAGTCTTCTCGAACTAGTATTTTTAGTTTGCAAGTAACACTGTTGGCTTCAAGAAATTTCTCCACCTCGGAAGAAATAAATCCTTTCGAATCGTTGAGCGCATTTTTAACATTGTCTCGTACTTCCTCTGCTAAATTCTGAAATTCCTGGCTCTCTTTGTCTCCAAGACTGCTATTGTAATCTCTATTTGTTATCGTCATTGTAACATTGAACCTTTTAAGACTGACCTCGGGTTTTTGAGTCGTGGGCGAAATAGTGGTTGTGGGTGTAATCTCACTGGATTGGCTGGGACTTGGCTCAGTTTGAGTTTTAAAGGAGGTAGCAGAGGTTGTAGATACGCTCGTTGGGCCCATGTCTATTGAAGTACGAGTTGTGCTCAAATATATTGAACGATCCGTGGAATTTGCTGTACTGATAGACGGGAATGCAATAGTCGATAAGGTTGGTCTTAGTGTAGTTTGGTCTTTCCTGAAAGTCATGGAACTCTCCGTTGGACGGAAACTGCCGATGGACGAAGTTTCACTAATAAATGGTCTCTGGCTCGAGGTAAAATTCACTGAGTCTGAGGATTTCGCAGCACTGAAAGGCGACACTGTGCTTGGGGTCATTACCATCTCGGTTGAGGTGAAGTTAAATAACCTGGTGGTTCTTTTTGAACTACTCAACGTCGCTTGTACAGCTGAGTGCAGTTGGCTTGTGACAGTCACGTCATGAGTCAACTTCACAGAACTGAAGGATACCTCGAAATTTATAGATGAGCGTGACCCCGTGATAGTCTTGTTCATGGTGAGATCCACTTGTTTTACTGTTACGTTCATTGTACTTGAGGAAGCTACTACAGGTATGTATGTGCTTCGGCTCGTACTAGTCGCAGTACGTGTTGTGTTAACCTCAACAGATGGAGACGGTGATTTTGTCAGAGACTGCCTTGCAGCTATTATAGAGCTTGAAGAAGGTGGTATGCTGCTAGGACGTCTTGGACGTGGAGATGAGGAAAATGTTTCAGAAGTTATTTTCGTAACATCCGTACTTAGAGACCGGGTTGTTATTGTGTACTGTATTGGATCTTGGGAAGATGGGAGAGTAACAAAACCAGTTGTACCAATCTCCGCACTCGAAGACACCGATGAAATTTTCGACTTCGTCGGGAACAACGTCGGAAAACTTGTTACACTAGTCTTAGCAATTGTAGCAGGTCGTTGTAATGTGGTTTTATTTAAGGTTGGTAAAGGAATCTGGTCACTAGAGGAGGGTGTCACACTGCTATACTGTTGCGGCGTAGGTGATGATGTGAAATTTAAAAGTCTTGTTGGAGCAGCCTGAGGGAGTGAAAAGGACGGCGAGCTGCTGGACTCTCCTAGTCTGTCCGAAGGACTAATGGTGGAAGATTTTGTGTCAGAAGTCCTGGTTCTTGAAGATGGTGGTAGGCTGCGAGGTTGTAATGAAGTCAGTGATGGTGTGGTAGTAACCACACTTGTTGGAGCACTCTGAGGATGTGAATAAATTGCTACGCTGCTGGTTTCTCCTAGACTCTCCGAAGGTCTGATTGTGAAAGATGTTGTGTCAGTAGTCTCGGTTCTTGAAGATGGTGGTACGCTGCTATATTGTGGAGAGGTCGGCGATGATGTGTAACTTACTGAACTTATTGGAGTACTACCAGCTTTTAAATAGGACAGAACGCTGCTGGACTCTCCTATGCTTGCGCTAGTTATGATAGTCGACGATTTAGTGTCAACAATCTTGGTTTTTAAAGGTAACATGGAGCTTGTAGATTGTCGTGACATCGACGATGATGTAGAAGACACTGGACTAGTTTGAGTGCTATCAGGATGTGAATATGGCGGTAGACTGCCTAACTCTCCTTGACTTGCCGACGGCGTGGTAATCGAAGATTTAATATAAGCTGTCTTGGTCCTTGAAGTTTGCGTTACACTACTAGATTGGGGTGATGTCGGCGATGATGTTGCCCTTGTTGTAGTACTAGCAGTAGGTGAATAGGACGCTACGCTGCTGAACTCTTCTAGACTTGCTGAGCGGGTTTTAATCGAAGATTTGATGTAATCAATCTTGGTCATTGACGATGGTGTTATGCTTCGAGATTGTAGTGATGTCGGAGATGATGTGAAACTTGCTTCACTTGCTGTAGTGCTCTCTGGAAGTGAATAAGACGGTGCGCTACTGGACTCTTCTATACTTGCTGAAGGTGTTTCCATCGAAGATTTGATGTAATCAATCTTGGTTTTTGAAGATAGTGTTACGCTAAGAGATTGTAGTGGTGTCGGCGATGATGTGAAACTTGCTGTACTCGTTGTAGTGCTCTCTGGAAGCAAATAGGACGGTACGCTGCTGGACTCTTTTAGACTTTCTGAGGGGGTTTTAGTCGAAGATTTGATGTAATCAATCTTGGTCATTGACGATGGTGTTACGCTTCGATATTGTAGTGATGTCAGAGATGATGTGAAACTTGCTGTACTTGTTGTAGTGCTCTCTGGAAGCGAATAGGATGGTACGCTGCTGGACTCTTCTAGACTTGTTGAAGGGGTTTTGGTCGAAGATTTGATGTAATCAATCTTGGTTATTGAAGATATTGTTGCGCTGCTCGATTGTAGTGACGTCGGCGATGATGTGAAACTTGCCGCACTTGTTGTAGTACTATCAGCAGGTGAAAAGTACGGTAAGCTGCTGGAATCCCCTTGACTTGCTGACGAGGTTATAGCTGAAGAATTAATGTCAAAAATCTTAGCTTTTGAAGTTGATGTTACGCTACCAGATTTTCCTGATGCCGGCGATGAGGTGACAATGTCTAAACCTGTACTCTCAGGTTGTGAATAGGACGGTACGCTACTGGACTGCTCTAGACTTGCTGAAGGGGTTGTAGTCGAAGATTTAAAGTCAGCAGTCCTGCTTCTTGAAGTTAATGTTACTCTGCTAGATTTTTCTGATGTCGGCGATGAAGTGAGAGTGTCTAATCTTGTTGCTGTACTTTCAGGTTGTGAATAGGAAGGTACGCTGCTGGACTCCTTAAGACTTATTGAAATGGTAGAAATCAAAGATTTTATGTTAGCGATTTTGGTTCCTGAAGTTAATACTGCGCTGACAGATTTTTGTGATGTCGACGATGAAGTGGCAGTCACTACAAACGTGGTTCTTGAAGGCGATGCTAGTTTGCTAGATTGTAGTTGTGTCGGTGATGTTGTGACTGTCACTGCACCTGTTGGAGTACCCTCAGAGGGTAAATAGAACAGCACGCTGCTGGACTCCACTAAACTTTCCTCAGGCGCGATAGCCGACGATTTAGTTATCTCGATGCTCCAAGATGATCGTTCACCGGTAGATTTTCGAAGTGTCGGTGAACTCACTGGACTTATTTCAGTACTGTCAGGTTGAGAATACTCTTCGCTGCTGGAATCTCCTAGACCTACCAAATACGTAGTAGTCAAAGGTTTTGAAGATGGGATTTCGTCGCTAGATGGTAGTGGTGTAGGCGATGATGTGAATTTTACAGAATCTGTTACACCGATAGGTACGCTGCTTGACTCGTCCAGATGTGCGGAAGGTGTGGTAGTCGAAGGTTTCTTTTCATCAGTCTTGGTGCTTGAAGTCGGTGAAACACTGCGGGATTGTCTTAAAATCGGTGAAGATGTGAACTTCAAAAAACTTGTCTCACCAGTTTCAATACTTGTCGGCGTTTTCACGCTCGATTCTTTCAAAGACGTAAAGGTAGAAGAACTTTTCGCTTTAGTTTTACTACTTGTGGAGAGTTCTGCTGAGTTGGTTTTACTTGGCTTCGCTACAGCTGTTGATACCACCGCACTTGTTTGGGCAATTTCGTTACTTGAAGATTCTGTGCTGTGAGACTTTCTTGAAAATGGCCAAGAGGTGACCAACAGACCATTAGAAGAAGGTTCTACCTTGCCAGACCTACTTAGAATCGGTGAAGTTGAGAAAGCTGTAGTACTTGTTTCAGCATTCTCGAATCTTGAGAAACTGGACACGTAGCTGGGTTTATCAGGGCGCTTTACAGCCGTGGAAATCACGGTACTTGTTGCGTCGACAATGGTACTTAAAACAGGTGTCACGCTGCTAGACAGTCCTGAACTAAGTAAAGATAGAGGTACGCTTTTAGGTTGGCTTGAGAGTTTTGATGGTTGAAGCGAGGGGGTACTTGGGTAAGCAGCTAGCACATCTGAAGACGGCGATGGACTGGTAGGTTGATGCGCAGTGTTTGATGTTGGCAAAGTTGTTGGTGGTGAAGCTGCTAGTACTCCTAGAACATTAAAATATGGTTCTTGAGAATCAATGTTTTAAGCACTTTAGTAAAAAGCAAACTGAACTTAGTGAAGTGAGTGATTCGACAGGTTTCATTATTTTAAGCGAGTACAGCGGCGCCTTTCATCGTTCTGGTCTAGGCCTCCATATGAACTTGATTTATCGACCTATTTTTATCAGCGATGAAAACTTTTATCAGCATCCATCAAGCGAGTTGGCAAAGAAGATTTTCTCAAGGCAGATACTTGTTTAGCTCTGAGTACAGATATCTTTAAGTATAGCCTCCAAATAAATTTCTGTTTCTTTGAAAAGTAAATAATTTCTCTGGCTGTGTTGGTTTAAAGAACGCAACCTTATGCCTAATCAATAATTAATGAACAGTAGTTTTATCACTGGTAAAGAATTCGAACGCGAAGCGCGAGGATTTTAACTAATGATAAAACACGTGCTGTGAGTGCTTTGCACAGCTTCAAAAACGTCCCCGGAGTATTTCATTTCCAAAGGACACAGGCGTCACGTTACGAGATACTTTCTCACAAGAGAGTCGGTGTCGCGTTACAGGCGACCGTTGAGACGTTGTATGAGAAATAAAATACTGAGGTCTGAGAAAGCTAAATATCATTATATTTTACCTTTTTTCTTTAAAATAAATAAAGGAGAATTACCTTTGATGTTTTCTTGTGTTTGTCTTGTGTGTGAATTCATAGATTTAGCCGACTTTTTGGCTCTATTGTGTGACCCCTGTCACTCCATTCATAAAAGAAGTCAAGGCCGCACAGCAAAACAGCTGGCAGTCCGGACCTTGTCTACTCGAATGCGGTTTGCGGCCCGAAAACCCATCGAATCGCAGATTTTTTCGACCAGAGGCAAAGTTCTATCATCGCTACACCTCAGTTAATCTTTAAAAGCGAAATATATCCCCACGCATGTTGCTGGAAATGAGCATTTTCTCGCGCTATGTCTGCAAACGCTGTGATTTTGTCAAATTTCCCTCGACCGAGGTGGCTCAGTCAACAAAGAAAACTCGCAACAAACGGTCAAGGGAAATTTGACCTCGGACCCAAGCCCTGTGTTCACTCTCCCGATCATAGCGTTTGCCGAAAGAAGGTATTGTGGGACATGGCGCGAGAAAATGCTCATTTCCAGCAACATGCATGGGGATATATTTCGCTTATAAACAGTGCGGCAATGATAAAACGTTGCCTCTGGTCAAAACATTTTGCTATTCGATTGGTTTTCGGGCTGCGAACAGCCTTCGAGTAGACATGGTCCGGACGTCGGCTGTTTTTCTGTGCAGCCTTGACTTCGTCTTGAGAGTGAAGTGACAGGGGTCACAGAATAGAACCAAAAAATCGACTAAATCGATGAATTCACACCAAAAAGACACAGGAATGCATCAAAGGGAAGTCTTCTTTATCTATGTTCTATAAAAAAGGGAAAATGTAATGGTATTTTGCGTTCGCACACCTCAGTATTTAGTCTCTCATACAACGACTCAACGGACGCCCGTAACGCGACACCGACTCTCAAGTGAGAAAGTAAATTGTAACTTGAGCTTAGAACGCCTGTGAAAAGGAGAGCTAAATAATGCATATTTCTTTTGTATTATTAAAAACGTGTTGATTGGAAAAAGTTCAACTAAAAAATGTTGGACAGAAATATTTATGCAAATGCATTATGCAAGTGAAGTACACAGTGTAAGCCGACGATCGAATAGTATCCCATGATGCACCTCGATTCATGTTATATTATCAACTGCGTACGTGGCACATCATTATCAGTAATCTTCAGCACGCGTGAAGTGAAGATCGATCGCAGTGCTCGATGTGGATGGTTTCCAAACATGTTTCGGTTCAGCAGCTTCTGCTTTTGAGGTTATCCAGTTGGCTTATATTCACTGTCCTTTAAAGGAGAATTTCAGCGTTACTTTGATCAAGAAGGGTTTTACATGTATTTCACTGATCTGTCGAGAACTCCTTTGTGCGCTCGGTCGCACTATAAACACAAAGTATAAGACTCGGCAATTGATAAGCTTCGCTAGGTTCACTAGCAGAACCGTACCTAGGCCAGAGGAGAACCAAAACTATGACTGATCTATAAAGTGGTTCCAACAAAACAGCCGCTACGCTGCGAAGCTAATTACCAAAGAAGAATTTATTACAGCATCGCGCTCAAAGGAGCTGAAGTTTACAACGGCAGTTACAAATAAAATTTAACCTATCGATGCGACAAACAATTCTCTGAAGCACAATCTACCCGGTACTGACTCAAGCAATCATCAAGGAAATTTCCTGGCCAGAATACTGATCTGTTCTTTTGAATAAATAAAGTTTCTGATGTTTCTTTTTCAAATTCTGAGCAGGCCTGTTTACGTTGTGCCGGCTTGCATGCTGCGTGGTACCTTTCTTTAGGTTGTTGTCACACTGAAACACACATGGGCACCCAACGGCAATTTTCGGGAAAATATCTGTTCGGAAGACGATTTGAGATCTAGAACTTTCGGAGCATTTGTTGTAAAATTTCTTGCTTTCCTACCTCTCCTAGGATTTTCGAACATCTGCAAAATGGTGTAATTACTCATTTTTGACGGATTTTGACCCTAAAAAAGGCCACCTAGAATTTTCGAGAGCCTTTTCCTGACTGAAATTTTCGAGAAGGTAAGTTTTTATCCCTATAATTTTCGGATCACTAGACTTTCAGCTAGGAAATCCGAACAGATGAAAAGTTTTTAGGGGATAAAAGCACGCCTATATCTACCGTTTGAATACTAAAATACATTCAACAATGCTATTTTAAGTGGTTTTGAACTATATCCTCGTTGGGTGCCCCTGAACACACCATTATGCACCGCTCCTTCTTCGAATTAAAATAATTATAGACAAATTCCTTTTAGAAATAACCTCTTTGAAAATACAAAGTGATTGCTTCGGCATAAATATTAAAGCCTCTCGAAAGCGCCCAACAGATGATAGCCTTCAGCAGTACACATATATTATGACACATGGCGTTTAAATGTGATAAAAGATTCGAAATTTAAGCCATCTTTGGTCGACGAAAAAGTCTTCAAAATGTGGGTACTTCTGGGTACTTCTTAGCCTGTACAATATTCAGGTCTTCATTTTGCTGGCGTGACGTCCACATTTCGAAGATTTCAACATATATTCCAAAAAATCTTGAATATTCATGACCTTGTTGTGGGTCACTGAACACTTTGTGATGGGAAGACTACTTGAAACCGTGAAAATAAATTGTTTCTGTGCGGAAACTACGCTCTTAAGCCATTGCAAATTGGAGAAATCATGTCAAATAACGAAATAATGTAATTTTCTTACTTTTACTGGAAATCGAGTGAGAAAAAAGCCGACGAGAAAACGACCTTATTTCATGATGGAATCTGCCATGACTGCGATATTGCGTGATGCTTCTGGAAAAATGCATCATGGGATACTATTCGCTCGTCGTCTGGTGTAAGCGTCTACTTGCCTTCGCAACACGGCTATCCAACAGGGTAGCAAAGGGGGGTTTCCTATCACGCACGTATCACGCCCATTTTTTGGAAGCTATCACGCATCACAGGAAAATAAAAAAATATATATTTAACTACTTTACACGCATCCTTTTATCATTTGATCTGGGGAAATCAGAGGTCAAGGAACGACAAAAAAGGGCAAGAAGTTGGTGTCATAACTATCTATTTTTAATGTCTCTGCTTCTAGTTTCAAATGATATTTTAAACCAGCACGGAAGCTTCAAAGGAAAATCACGCGTCAAGCTGCTATGCTCAATCACGCCTCACGCGGCTAATTTCGGCCCAATCACGCAACACGCTGATAATTTAGGTCCCATCACTCGTTATGGAAAAACCCCTTTGCCACTCTGATCCAAATGAAAAATTTCACAAGAGGGAAAAAATTTCTCGAGTAAAGTGTCGCTAAATCAAAGTGCAAAGCGACATAACATGCATTGATAATTTTTACGTCACTGCAAACTAGTAAGAATTAGATTATGTTGTTTGTGACTTATTTCGCCCATTGCTTCTTGAAATGATAACATAGACTGCGGTTTGGTGCTTTCTCGGTTAGAAATCTCCGTATTTCGTTTTAGAATAAGTTCTGACCGGTTGACGGTTTTTCTCGATTACATGTATTTTTGAACTTTTTCTGTCTTCGGAAAGATACATTTAGCCAAAATTTTGGCTTTTCATTTATAACTGCAGATTTGGACCGTTTTATATAAAATTTCACGTTCATTAGTATTTTCTATATAAAATGTTCATCCTCAGCAGTTTTAGTCATTCAACCCCGTTTTTCCCTTTAGGCTAAATTAAATTCAAAGCCCTCCCTCCCCCTGACTTTTCAGTTTGCTGAGTTTTATCAGGTATAAAGGTCCGTACACGTGATTAAATCCGCAAAGTTAATTGGACAATATGCCTTTTAAATATCAATGGTTTTTGAAGTATATGTAATATGTATTTTTACAATATTCCAGTACTCTGTACGAAATAGTGACTCTATGAATCATGCTCTTTTGGCTTAAAAAAAAAATGCTCTTCAAACAACTCAATTTCTGGAAGATAGACTTAATTAAATGTGTTTAATCAAATGAAAAAGCCATTGATTTAATTCATGCACCGTAACCAATCATTCTTATCTATGGTTCTAGTCTCAGTAGAAGGTCAGACAAAACAACTGTATAAATTAATCAGTTCCACCGGTAAAAATGCTTATTTTCTTACTTTTCAAAATGATACAAAAAGTTAGTTGACATTTGCCCCTTTGGTCTCAGCACTTAATCATATGTGGTCTATAAATAGTCCCTGAATAAATCAATACTATACTATCTGTAGATTTAGTAAGATTGGATAAGTGACATTGGGCGGGTGGACGAATTGGCCCGATAAGATCTCATGAGATCTGCTTGACCGCAACGCAATTGTTTATTTGAACACTTATCATCAAAGGTGAAATAATTTTCACTTCTTTTATATCAACCGTAAGTTGGATGGTTGATCACTGTAATTACCATTATTTTCGTCTGTCTGCTGCAAACTTCGTGACGGTCACAATGTTGCACATCACGAAGATTTAAAACAAGGCTGCTATAAAAACAAAGTCTTTTTTTGATCCTTCGGAGTAAGTGCTTCTTAAGAGGCTTTCCGTCGTTAAAAACCATCATTATTGACATTAGTGACCATATAGAGAAGTACCATTGAGAGAAGGACAAAACATGAAACGCTCCCGAGAGCATCCCGTGCGGAAAGAATATTTATAAAGATTCCGCTTCGCCCAACCCAAACTTAAACACTTTTTAGTGTCTAAGTTATTTGTCATGCTTTAAACAAGTCTCGCTTTAGATAATATTGAATCAGTCAGCGTTTTACAGAATATCAGATCATATCTTTTATTTCGTAGAACGATATAGATCTTAATTTATTGAAGTGAAATATTAGATCTTTGCATTCTCAGACAGACATCCATTCAACAAATGGCCAAAGTTCTTTCTTAAGCCGATTAAGTGTTAAATTTTTTTTTCGATACGACGCTAGATTGCCCTTTCTTGTTTCATCGGATAAAATCGAATCAGTTCAGTTTTTCAGAAAGACCGTTTTACGGCAAAAAGATGATGGTTGTAATATGAAAGGATTTGTAAATTCAACAAAACTTGATTTTGCTTTGTAGTGGCCAGAAAGACATTTCGTGCACCCGGACGCCGTGTGGGTTATGAATGACTGCACTCGAGGCTTCCTACACTCCTAGAATAAGGACAAAAGCTACCAGTTTCTACAATATGTTATTTTTTTCCTCAGCAAAGAACGGTGTGCGCTGCTGATTTCATTACACTATGATCGAAGTTTACTGAGAAGAACGTATCGGCACGCGAAGGAAAAAGTTCGGTTAGACAAGGACTAATCTAAACTGAACTGAAATGGAGGATTTTTTTCTTACCTGTGTTGACTATGAGGATAGGCAGGAGAAAAGAGAAGGTACATGAACGCAGTTTATCCATGATTCGCATCCCTTTTACACCTGTTTTTCGTTGCAGCGAAACGCTTTGCAAAAACTTCGATGCCGTAGAAATCAAGACGAACTGTAAGATTTCACGGTTTTGGCCTTGGGAACATGGCCTTCTGCCTGAGGCAACACGTACGTCACGCGATCAGGCAATAGTCCACCTTCAAGGCCTTTAAAACGGATGTGCTGTGACAGCCAGTCGAGACGAGCATAGAGTAGGAAAAAAATGAGAGAATGTCTAGAGTGCTGCCATATACATTTTTTAAAGCTTTAAGCTTCCTGAACGTAACCTACAATTAAAGGGGCGTCATCGCGCGATAGAAATCGTGTCTAATAAGGCAAGATTTTGCCATTAAAGACAAATATTGTCTAGAAATTTCTAAAGTTCGAGAAAGGCGGAAAATGTCTAGATAACTTTTCCAGTCATCTGAGATTAGTCGGCCGGGAGGTTAGTGTATTTTAGATATTTTTTGTGAGACTTCTGTATAAATGGCTATTCTATACGACACAGCTGATTGAATATAATCTGGATTGCAAAATGTACCCCTCTTAGGAGGAGCATTCCCGCATAGTCTTTCCCGTGTATATTATACTAATCAGTGGCACCCAACAAGCATGTAGTTCAAAACCACTTAAACATAACATTGTTGAACGTATTTTAGTATTTGAAAGGTAGATATAGGCATATTTTTATCCCCTAAAAATTTTTCATGTGTTCGGATTTCCTAGCTGAAAGTCTAGTGATCCGAAAATTATAGGGATCAGAAGCTTACCTTTCCGAAAATTTCAGCCAGAAAAAAGGCTCCTGAAAATTCTAGGTGACCTTTTTAGGGGTAAAAATCCGTTAAAAATGGGCAATTATACCATTTTTTAGATGTTCGAAAATCCTAGGAGAGGCATGCAAGCAAGAAATTTTACAACAAATGTTCCGAAAATTCTAGATCTCAAGTCTTCCGACCAGCTATTTTCCGAAAATTGAAGTTGGGTGCCCCTGACTAATAGGGATTATCGTCTGGGTTTTCGCAAGGGAACATTTCAATCACTGTTCCCTGCAGTTATCCTAAATTGTGAAACGCGTTTATCCTTGCTCAAGTTCTCCGATTCAGCATGCATTGTGCCGTGTACTAAAATCAGTGAACTCTAAGGAAAGTCCAGAGTATGCGTGACATTCACAAGCCACCTTTTAATAACTCCCACTGGTTTTAATAAGCTCAGCCGTATTTTATTGCAAGCCGATGAAAGGTAGACATCTTGCTCTAGTTTTAGAGCTGTAATCTCTTTCATATGACTATCTTCAAATGATTTTTTTTTCAGGGTTTCTTTTTCGAACTGTGAAGGTTGGGTCTATAACTGCGATGATCTTCTTTCGTTTAATTCTTCACCCTGTAGTTTCCATATATGATTTTCATATACTTATTTCTTCATCGTCATCCTTTCAAGGGTTTATAACGAACCAACTAAATGTCCTGCTCCCAGTTGGCTTGTTAGCTCGATTGGTAGAGCGCTGCACCGGTATCGCGCAGAGGTCAAGGGTTCGAATCCCGTACAAGCCTGAATTTTTCCAGGCTTTCTTCTCGCATCTGTAAAAGTTGCGTCTATAACTGCCATAATCTTCTTTCATTTTATTCTCGTACTGTTGTCGGTGACTCACTTGCGTTTCGGTCCCCATCCGCTTGAAAAATTAAAGTACCCATTCTTGTGTTTTTTATCTAATACTCTTTTCACAAGTTACCCTGCGAGCAGAGGCTACATTTTCGTTGTGTGAGCTGGCGTGCGGAAAGTAGAAATCTGGATGAATAAATTAAAAAAACGGGCTTTCTCCTGTTCTTGACCGGTTTAGAACATTACGTGAGTCTTGGGTGAATCTTGCGTAGCAGATCAGAGTTGTCGCAATTTTTGTATTCCTGCGAAACTCGCATCATTTTACGAAAGACCTGACGATTAATTTTGCTTGCGAATCGCGTGACGAATTTCGCGCATGCACGATGGAAAATAGGAAAATTGAACGGTTATCGACAGAGGCTACTTTTCGCACGCCAGCTCACACAGCGAAAATGTAGCCTCTGCTCGCAGGGAATTCACGAGTTTATAATCCCCATCTTGTTCGCCCGAAGGTGGGTTCACACAGGTGATTTCTAGCATTTCTAGCCTGTTCCAAGCGTTCAGATAGTAGAGGGGGACTGGGGAGAGAGGTGTTCCCTCTCTTACCTCTCCCCCTCCCTCGCTTTTATTTTTTTCGCGCTCCTTTTTACTTCGCACCGCTCCCCATTACCTGAACGCCTGGAACAGGCTATAGCATTTCGAGAAATTTAAAGAAATGGCACTCAGGGGAAATGGCAGCGACGGTTTTCACTATGAACAGGTTACTGAGTGTGAATTTCTTGAAGACTTTTGAGTCTCTGGCTTTAGGTTGATTTTTGCCCAGGATCAAATGAGATCAGGATAACCTCTTGGCTGTGATATGAGTTGTATTTTCTCTGAGAATTTATACTAAATAAGGAACAGGTCAATGGCAAATTGAAAAAACGGAACCTAACTTAAACCTGGCGCTATCAGTACCTAGCCCCATCAACAATTTTCCTTCTTCTTAATATCCCTCTATTTTCTACTTCTTATGTCCTTTAAATATTTAGAATGTCAGCAAGTCCACAGCAACAAACCAATAAGTGGTGCCTGACCTCCCAGTTGTAGACCTGGATCAGTACAATTAATATATATTTAAACAAATTGCAATTTGTTTAAATATATATTTACTTGTTTTATTTTTTTGTTTACTTTTTCGTCGCCTTGCCGTTTCATATTTTTCTTATTGTTACCACCGTTTTCGTTGATACGCGACTTTCGAAAAGAAAACACCCGCGGAAACGTTTCCAAAATTTCCGTCAATCATGCGTGTTATCGAGGTCAGAAGGTCACACTGGTGGCTGTGATTGGTGGATTTCGATCCGATCTGTCGATAACATGCATGATTGACGGAAATTTTGGAAACGTTTCCGCGGGTGTTTTGTTTTCGAAAGTCGCGTATCAACGAAAACGGTGGTAAATCCCCGTTTCCCGAGGTGTTTTCTCGTTTCCCGTTCCTCGTTTTAGTAACATTTTCTTTACACGCACAATCTTTCCTGTCCCAGGAGCCGATTATAGTGGAGTGCAGGGAGAAAGAATGGGGATAGCTTCTCCGAAACTTTTTCCAGACCTTTTACATTTGCTCAAAGCAGAACTGTCACGCAAACATTTTCAAAACTGTCAGTCTCCTGTTAGCGTTGACATGTTTTCAAGATAGGCTTCTAATTAAGGCATTTTTAAATCGCCGAGAACCGCTTTTCGCCTGCGTTCCCCTTTTCTCTAACTTTGTAAACAGCTCCTTGCTAAACTTTGCTCGCCAAATCCGAAATAATCTCTCAGATACAAAGAAAGCGATTTTTTCCTGTGACGTCATCAGTTTTTCTGTACTATGTACAGTTTTATCATATCATGGACAACGGCCAATCACAGCAAGCGTGCCGTGTATGAACGAAAGTAAAGCCTATTTCAGTTTGCACTATAGGGTTAGGGTTACACGGGGGTGGTTGCTAAGCACAAAAGAAGCGTATTGAGTGCGATTTTAGCTTCTTGAGTACTTAGCAAATTTCTCCCAAGGGCAATCATAGCTTAATGGTACACGCTGAGCCGCTTATCATTTGTTTTATAACATATAATCAAAAGAAAAACTCTAAAATTTGCTAACTGATTGTTGGTGGAATGGCCTGAGTTTTTTCATCTGCGCGTGCTATGTCGTGCTAGAATCATTAGTCCTTTTCGTTCTTTTTTTTCTGAATAAGTAGTTTTCATTCTTAAAGTAGGTCGTGAAACTCTTTTTATGTAAATGACTTGCAAACTTCCGCTCATTAATAAGATCAAAACCTTTCCCAATTATGAGTTTGAGCCCGCGCTAGCTCATGTCAGCTTTCACCCATGGGCAAATAACAAATAGGTAATTAATCAATCAGAACGCGCTCTTTACTTTTGTTATGCTATAATGCAGGTCATGGAAGAACTCCGGCTATGTTCACACTATTCCGGATAGCTCGGTTTGCGCCGTCACAAAAATCATACCGGTTAGGGCTTTTGTTCGTACACAAGAACGGTTGTAGCGGCGCGATTTCTGTGACAGAGCGAAGGTGCGCCGCGCCGATCTCTTAAGTGGATAGTCACGTGTCGGATAGGTGTTCACACTATACCCGCCGACAAATGAAAAAAATATAATACAAAAACAACTCCGAAAAACATCTTGCTAACTTAAAATATAAGTATAAGCAAGAATTGACGCAAAATAAATATACTTAATATTTCGGTTCTTATTTCAAGACCATTATCAAACGTGAAATACAAGATCAGTGGAAAAGTGCTGAACTTATAGAGAGCCAGCCAGAAAGGTGTGACTGAATGTTAATAAAAATTAATAATTGTGACAAGAATGGAGAAGAAAGTATAACAAAAATGATTCAGGTATGTACCTCTTAATTAATAAAGATTCTAGAATCTTTATTAATTAAGAGGTACATACCTCAACTTAACTGTGGCATTAAGCTGCAAAAGAGCTTGAATTGTTTTAGCTTTAAGTTTAATTTAAATTTTAGCATTTTTGTTATATTTTATTCACACTATATCGGTATCCACCTAGTGTGCACATAGATAGCATCACTTGCTGGCTTCACTCTGGGCTTGTAAGTACTATCTAAGTGCATTTATATTGGAATCTACTTCGAGTGTGAAGGGGTAAAATGTACTAGTACTCGCATGAACGACTAGAATTAACTTTGTCCCCATGGAAACATTCGTAGTTAGAGAAGCCACGGCCAAGTACGATCCACATAACACTTGAGAACACACTTGCGATGTACAACGCTTCCTGGAGATCTGATGAACTCGCTACTTGTGCCGAGATCAATCGAAAAATCCAAAATAGATGGCTGGAGAGACTACGCATCGGAGTTTGAGGACTATGGCAAACCCTTTGCCAAAAACCGCGTCATGGTGCCATTATAGAGGTGTCGCTTGTTTCTTTGTGTTGCCGCCAAGTATTCGTTAATATAGGACGAAGTACCTAATCATTTGACAGGTTAAAACCCTCAACATTACTACAGAGCAGCAATCGAGTCATGAAATTGTTGCTCGTTGTAAATTATTCTCTGAACTGAGTTGGGGTTGTTTTGGTAATATTTCTTCTTTAACTAAAACGATTTTCTTTTATCTGAACGTGACTTACTACTGACATGCTACTGTTACTCTAAGGGCCTGTTTACATGGAGGTGGGGGACCCCAGGTAGGTGAGGTAACCAGCTTACGTGGGGTAACCCGTTTGTCCATATAATCTCTCATTTTAATTTCATCACGTTTACATAATAGGTGAGGTGACCCGCCATAGTTTACCTCACCTACCTGGGGTCCCCCACCTCCATGCAAACAGGGCCTAAGAACGCGCACGCTAAAAAACTATTTGTAACGATATTTGTTTGTTTATGTGATCGACGGTTTTGTAGTCAAGTAAAAGCAATGGTAAAATCGAACGACGTTTTGGTGTCCTTATTACTCCAGTTTTAAGTTCAAAATAAGGGAGCTTAACGACGACCACAGCGACGACTAAAGGCCTGTTTACATGGAGTAGGGGACCCCGGTCTAGTGGGGTCGGTTTCTTTTGTTTTCACGCTCTGAGGGACACAAAACAAAACAAAACCTACCCCACTAGACCGGGGTCCCCCACTCCATGTAAACAGGCCCTTAAAAAAAAAATAGGCAGGTTTAATGATCAAAACAACAATTCAGCACGTGCATCACGCTTTTTAGTACGGCTTTGACGTCCAATGCACGACTTAGGACGTGAAACCTCCTAATTTGACATTTTCTGGAGGACGTGGACTTACGACGACGAATTTTCTTTTATCTTTTTGAACCTAAATAAAATCCTTAAGAATTCAACTCCAGGACAATTCGCCTACATTTGACATATTTAGCGGGTCCAAATGGGGTCCAAATAGATGCGATTAAGTTTGAAAGAAAGGAAATTCATTTTTTTTACCGACGTTTTCACTGCCGTCGTCGTCGTCCTTACGTAGTTCCCTATCGAGAAGTTGTAGACCGCAGATTGATTTGTAATAATTATTCACTCTACAGAGCGAGGACGGAAGGGAAGTTGTTGTTAATCGTAATGTCTGTAAGCCGTAACTCAGGTAACTGTTCATTTGTAAGATGCCCCAAATTTTTGCAGTTCCACAGTTGGTTTCGGCGCCATTAAATCCTATATACCCATAATGTGAGCACAATTACTGTACTCTCAAGGCGAGTAGGAAAGCAGACCAAAAAAAAAAAAATGTCACGGAACGCAAAAGGTGCGCCCGAATTGGGTACAGTTGGACATCACGAAATGGTTTTAATTCTCTTGTGAGCAACATTTGGTGGTGTAAACAATCATTACTTGTTTTGACACTTCTTAAGGACAAAACTTGTAGTTTCGCTTGTGCCAATTATAATTTGGATCAAAATTGGGTTTGGTTCCAAGCCGGCGAACAGTCAATTCCTAATTGGCCTCGAACACCGACACCTTTGACGTCACTTGGAAACCATGAAGAGAATAACTTATTTCAATCGGACAGAAAATGCATCATTGTTTCAGACCGTGACACCGATATGGCTACTGTGACGTGAGCTTTCTATACTTTAACTTTGTTCACACAAATTAGTTTTCCGAAAACGCATTATATTAGACGAATTAGTGCAGAAAGCCGTCTGACACAATGGAATGCTAATTAAAAGAAACAGTTCTTGTAAGAAATACTAATGAAATAAAATTTTTTATAAATTGGTCATCCTAAGCTACAAATTAATTCAATAAGAAATTAAAGTAAAACTTTCGATTCAACACAGGATCAAACGAAGTCGTCAAAGATATTCAATCTAAATGAGCTGAATATCATCCCCCTGTAGAAACACGTTTTTTAAATGAAAAAAACAAAAACAAATGCAAGAAGGAATATTCATTAACAAAAGAGGATTACTTGCCAACTGTGGAAAACTGAAAAAACGTGGCCTCCTTTCCCTTTTAGCGCCCAGTGCTTTAAAAAAGGGTCACAAACAACTCTTTTGCATACTATTATATCGCTTTCCGGATAGACTTAGTGACATTTTCCTCGAGTAATTCTTTTTCGCTTTTCACAGTTTTACGTGTGAAACACAACGCAATCCTGAAAGCAATACTGATAGGCCATTGTTGCAAGATCTCTTGTGGTATATGCAGTTTAGTTTTGCAATCTATCTGCACTAGATGTTATAACTTTGGTTGGTTTTCAGTGCGTTTTGCACCAACAATAAAGACAGAAACGGAAATTGCGTTGCCATTAGGTTTGTGAAGCAAGTGTCTTATCATGTCTAAAAATGCGTTCGTGTTTTTTTTTTAACGTTACCTAGATATACAGCGACTTTCGAAGCTTAAACCTCTTTTGTCAGTTTTCTGGAAAATTGTTCAATGAAGTCTCAGGAATTCCCAAAAGTCCACTTGTATGCATGCTGTAGATAACCTCCTGTTATATAGGCGTTTCCAACGAGCCGCAAGTGACTACTTGAAGCCCAAGCCCGATTCAGGTAAAGTGAGAAGTACATATTTCACCCAATATAGATAAACTTACCATGTGTCGAAACATTGAAGTTGATCTTGCTGGTGGTGGAAGCAGTCATCGATACACCACTTACAAAAAGCAAAAGCAGTTCAAATGCTTGCATCGGTAACAAATGGAAGCGGGCCATCACATCCATCAAAAGTGCTAGTTGTAAATAATGAAAAGAGAAAGATGGACAAAATCAGAAATATGTCTGCGTGATCGAATAGCCATTTACATATTAAATTTAATGACTGTCATTTCAAGAGTGTTATTTGGAGCCTGTGTATTACTGTATTTGCATATTGAGATGAAGTGAAAGTCTGCGGTGCTAATATATAATATCTACAAACTGATAAATAAAGCAGATACAGGTATAGATGGGTGTAGTCCATTGTGAAAAATACAATAATTATTTATTTTAAGGGCCATTTTGGGTAGTGGTCCATATAACACTTACTTTTGTTCTTTGCTCTTGGCGCGTGCAATGCATGAGCTTCTCGAACGTTTTCACACTCGGCCTAGTATAAACGAAAGTAAGATCATTAATTTTAGCTAAATTGCAGTTCATTCCCTGTTTCGTTGGTCTAAGAAACCTGCCTTCCATTAACTTGAAAATTAAGCTAGGACTCCTTAATCACATAAAAAGCTTTGTTCTAGTGAGAGCTACCCACTCGTACTCCGAATGCCATTGTGCTATTCTAACAAAGAAAACCAGAATGATTTACTCTCCGGCGAAACTTTGCCTCAAGTGTATTATTGCAATTTTTCGCAATAGGCTATTGTGTAGCAGATTTGTATGGAAAATTATGCTTAATTCAATCATACCTTAAAATTCTGAAGTAAACCCCGAGGCTTTTTATGGGAGGACAAAGGCGTTTCAAATTCCTTGGACTTATAATTTTGATTTGAAATTCTTGGCACGTGATCCCTCTGAACATGCCAACCTTAATAGTTTGCTTAATACTCGCAACAAAAATATGTGAATATCGTACATATTTCATAAATTAATTGAAAATAAATGTTTTACCAGTTCACAACTTTATAGTTTATCAGTTGCTGGTACGACTACACGAAAGGGCTCGTTTTGTGATGCTTTTTTGTGTTCTGAATTTGATGGGTTTATATTTGAAGGGACTCAAAAAAAGACGAGCTTTTTTCTCGTAATTTAACGATATTTTCGTGGTAGTATCGAAAACGAAAACCACAAAAATGAAGATGGGAGGCCTTTGACCCCAAACCCGAGCGTGCAAACGAGGACCCCTGAAGAAGCTCCCAAAATATGAAAACGAAAACCTCCAAAAAAATAAGCCGCGTCGTTCAATGCAATACTGTTGAGTCTATTACCGACAGATTTTAGTTTTTTTAAGTAGTATAAACTGGAAACAACAATATTGACCGTTTTATAACTCAAACTAACTCAAATACAACACCCTCGCTGTGATCGATCAAGTGCGCGGAAGTCGGGATCATTTCAGTCATTTTGTACTGCGCCTCTGACATATCGATGACTCATTTGGTTTAGGTCGGGATGTTATCTAGTGCTTTCCACATACATAAGCACCTTTAATCATCGAAAAACCAACAACCAATAATACATTATCTGAAATTCAAAAAGTGACTGTTCTACTGGCATGGATGTAAGTTAACAAGTTGGATACCGAAGCAACGTCATATACGCTAACGCTTCATCACATAGTGCCTTTAAAAGTTCCTGTGATTCAGTTTCCGGAAAGGCGTTTTCTAAATGAGCTTTTTGGAATTTTTATTCTTTCCTTAACACCCCTACCCCCTCCCCACCGTGTTGGTGTCCTAGTGACTAAGTAGCACTACAAAATCTTGTTATTGAAGTGGCATTATTGTACCTATTAAAGAACTTCTGTTCCGTTCACTCTCTGAATGACAGATTTTCTTCTTACATTTTTTTGAATGTTCTTTCAAACAATATAAAAACAAAAACATCCTATTATGCGTGAAGTAGTTGTTGTTATTTTACCTAGCCAGTTTTCCAGAAATTATTCAGTAACTACCTAGTTTTATGAAGGATTTGTTTTTCTTAAGGGGTGTTCACTTTCATAGTTTGGAGCCTTACGTCTTCGATTTTCGTTTTTGACATAGGGGGTGTAACAATAGAGAGGTCTACCGAGGTCTAGAAAGGGATAACATCCTTTCTCTACTTTTCACTTTTTTATGGATTCAGTGAATAAACAGTTATCGTAAAATTCCGAAAATAAGCTCCTCCATGTGTAAGCCCCACAAACCGGTACCGCAAGAAACCCTCCGTTAAATCGCCCCTCCAAATATAAGGTTTGTACTTGGAAAATTTCCCTCAAATACAAAGTAAAACAAAGCTGAAAAGGTAAATTTACTTCCAACCGTAAGGCTAGCCCAACCGATTTTGAAACGCAAATTTCCCTCCGCAGATAAGCCCCTCCAAAAATAAGCCCCTCAAAAAGGGTCTTTGAAAAATATAAGCCCCTGGGCTTATTTTCAAAATTTTACGGTATTATCATTATTATTATTATTATTATTATTATTGTTATTATTGTTATTATTATTATTAGCGAGTATAAGCAAAGACGATTTTGAATGACTGACGTCAACCGGAAGTGGACTTTTTGCATTCTTGGACAGTGGTATTTCCCAAAATTTCGGGCAAGAGTAAAGACGATTAGCCAAAGAAAATGTGGTGGCGTCAAAGCATGTTAAAAAAGAAGGCTTCATTTCCGGTTGACGTACGTTGCTCATAAACGTCTGCGCTTAACCGCTTTGGACTGGTTCAATTAGCTTTGAAATGGCTAAGACTGAGTTTTGCAACATTAAGGGTATACTTTCCGGCTAATTGGATGTAATTAAGCAGCTTTTTTGGTTTTTAGCGCATGCGCATCAGCCGAAAGTTGCACTTTGCGAATCTATTCCGATCTTTTCTTTCTCGCCCTCAGAATTAATCTGAAAAGAGGGAAAATGGCAGTGGATTTTTCCTCAAAATGTCACTTGGTTTTTTTTGGTGATTAACTCTGTAAGGATTGGTCAGAATGTCCAAAAGGATATATTGGTGCAACGGTCTGTTGAGTCTATCCTAGCTGATATGGCTGCTTTCCAACTTAATAGCTTAAAATGAAACGGGAAAATACGCATCTTTCCATAAGCCGGATGGGAAAAGATCAAAGCGGTCGTCAAAGGGTTCAGTAAGCTCCCTAGTACTATCGTTTATATAATGCCTAGTAACCCATAACTCTATTAACTCGGGAGTAGATTTCTTCTAAGGGTGAGAAAGAGTCTAGAAGGGTGAGAAAGTAAACTTGTTAGGGGCACCCAACGAGAACATAGTTCAAAAACACTTAAACATAGCATTGTTGAACGTATTTTAGTACTTAAACGGTAGATATAGGCATATTTTTATCCCCTAAAAATATTTCGTCTGTTCAGATTTCCTAGCTGAAAGTCTAGTGATCCGAAAATTATAGGGATCCAAACTTACCTTTTCGAAAATTTCAGCCCGAAAACAGCCCCCGAAAATTCTAGGTTACCTTTTTAGGGTAAAAATCCGTTAAAAATGAGCAATGATACCATTTTTGTAGCCTGAATTTCATCCGATTACTTCGAGTCGTTATTACTCCCTCAGACTTTGTTGCGAGGAGAAAACGACTCGAAGCAATCGGATGAATTTCAGGCTACCATTTTTGGGGGGTTTCGAAAATCCTAGGAGAGGCAGACAAGCAAAAAATTTTACAACAAATGTTCCGAAAATCAGTCTAGATCCAAAAATTGTCGTTGGGTGCTCCTGACTTAATTTGTACTGGTTCAAACTAGAGGTGAATATATGCGCTCCTGTTTGCTGTCAGTTATTCTATGTAGTGAGCCAAGTTTGTAAAAAATTATCCTCTTTAATTTCTGTCTTTGTAGCGTATTCTATTCGACTAATAATTTATTTTTTGTGCTTTCAGTGATAAAGTTCACAGTTTCTTATTTTGCCTCCGCAGAAACTCCACATTAATAAACGAAAACAGTTAATTCATAAATAAACCTACTTACAAAGTCAAAAAAATAATGACAGTAATTTAAAAAAAGCACAAACACACTCACACCAAAATGACACAGGTTGAACGGATTGGCTAAATTAACGCAGTAAGTTTTAATAAATATATAACGGAAAACGCATTGATGCACGTTACCTGTAATTGGGCTAAAACTATCAAAAATAAATGAAGGCCTCCCAGTCTGTTACCAGCCACCCTCTGTAGTATATAAACTCGATAATACAGGATGCATATCCTTCCGATATACAAAATGTTGTTTTGGGAGCCAAAAGGGTTAACTCGTGAGAGTCACGAGCACCTCTCGAAGTTCCACGTCAACAGAGCGCTTTTGGGTTGGACAAACCTACTTTTTCCTTGACAAAAAGGTTGCACTTTCGAACAATATCCCTGACGGACAAACGAAGAAAATCGAGAGGTTGATATTGTTTACCATCAAATTTGGAACCACGTAGCAACACCAGGAGCTTGGACCGGTTTATTTCTGCTTATTTAATTCATTTAATTTCATTTTATTTTGCCATACACCACATAAAATACATTTATAATATACAATATATTTACAATACAGTGGCGGATCTAGGGGAGGGGCCCGAGGGGCCCGTCCCCCAGCTTATTTTTAGACCAAACTGAGGTCCGAATGACAGAAACATTTTTGTTGGAGACTGCCTCCCCCTTATCTAAGGGTCTGGATGACCGCCCCCCCCCCTCATCTCAAGGTCTGAATCCGGCACTGCAATATATTGATTGATGGTATACACAATGTTACAAATTTTCAAGATAGTATTGGCAAGGAAACCTATGTAGAAGCCTAGGGCTAAATAAAAAAAATAAAAAAAAATTTCTTTTGCGAAAAGAAATAAATAAGGGTCGTGAAAGAGAGTCTTGGCAGGGTAGCGAAATGTTAAAAACAGGGTCAAGGTCTTGAAGGGCTCGGCGGCACACTTCGATCTACCTAAACTTTCGTTGAGTGTGTCCCCAGGACTTCTACCCCACAGTTCTTTGATCGTGTGCCTGGCAAGCGTGCTATATAGGGCTCGACCCTCAACAGCAGATTTTCTTTCTTGCTGGTCATGCGACTCAGTTTAAACGTCTATGAAGAATCGTGGAGACATTCGAGTCGTTTCGTGTAATAATTGAGTCCATTTCCATCTGTGGCGATCGTTGAAGCAAGAGAGGATCCATTCTCTCTTGTTGAAAGAATCTGATCGAGTATCTTCGGATTCATTATTGTTCTTGTAAGTGTTATTTCGATGTTTCTTTAAGATCTCGCCTTTGCGTTTCTACTTCAATCTTACGTCGTCATACTGTAATATATTCTGCAAAACTAAAGCAGTAACCACACCCAGTTCCCGTTGAAGGGGGGGGAGGGGTTACACCTGGGAATATCTTGGTTTGGGTGTGCCGCCTGGTTCTCCAAATCCTGACCCTGTTTCAGTCCAAAAAATGACATTTTCACACTCGTTTTCAGACCTGGAGGTGGTCACAAAACACAACATTACATGTTTACATAAAACAGAAATTATCATTGCTGAGATTAAACCGCAACAAAAAGATTTCTTAAATTCGCATATTAAACTTTCTTTATTATACATTTGGAATTGAAACGACGGACACATTGACACACAACCTAGTTCCTTTGTAAACCATATCCGATTCCAGGCCAAAATGGGCAAAATCTGTCCCCGTTTTCAGACCAAAACGAAGCGCAAACCCTACCCTTAGGGGCATTTGGCTTATATAAGGGAGTACCCCCCCCCGGGACCCAGTTACAGACTGCAGTTTATTTTAATGTTGTGTTTGACAAAGGTGTCAAGTAAACCTTTTACTAACAAATTAAGGCAAATTATTTAGAATACCTATGATAGAGTTTACACTTCTAACAACCTCTAAAGTGCACAACTTTGGGGGCCAGTGGAAATGAAATGCAAATGAGAGTGGCGTCATAATAGCAGCTGTCGGCCTTAACCAGGAAATTAAAGGGGCAGGAAAAAACTTAAACCTGATACCGAATTTTATTTGCCAAGGGAAAAGAAAATAGAGCCGAAAGCGGTTTAGGGGATTACTACCTATAATTCAATAGTAAAAAAGTATTTTTTAAAAATGAAACTTGAAAAACAAATTATAAGACAAAATTTAAAGAAGAAAATCGGAACGAGGTTTTCCAAGACTTTCTCAAAGGGGGGCTTCCCTTTTCCACAGTCATGCCCCCTTTTAAACTGGCTCTTTTGAATTCGTTTCGAGTACAACTTAGCCAGTTGGTTTTAGTAGACTCGCGCGCTAAGAAATTTTTTCTGACAACATTTATTTCTTTCATTTTGCCCTCTAGTCTGCTTTATCTCTATTTCGAAAAAGGTCTGTAACTTTTCAATAATAAAATCGAATATGGAAAAAGCTGAAAAACGGCCTTATTAACAAGCAATCTAACGATCGATAAAATTGCTTCCTGATCCCTAAGACTGGTGAGAGGTTAGTTTTCCTTTAGAGTGGACCTTAGCCTGCGTAGCAGGCGCTTGGAAGTAGTGGGGACAAGAAAAAACGGGCGCGCGAGAAGGAGACGCGTGTCTCCCTCGCGTGCGCCCGTTCTCTCTTTCGCCCGCTACTTCCAAGCGCCTGCTACGCAGGCTAAGTGGACCTTCATAGATAAGTCAGTGCAAAGGAAAAAATGATCAGGAAACCTGTTGGTTACCAAGAAACATAATTACTATATAAGTAACATCAGAGATCGGACGAGATATATAATAAAAGTATTTTATAAGACTTGTCCCCTGTAGTTGGAAATATTGTCGAAGGCACCGGACCCATTTTTATACATGCGTCCGTCGAATAGAAGCCAGTAAACTTTAACTCACCTCTACACAGAAATAAACGAATGATGAGTCGTGGATGAGACAACAACAGACGCACCCTCAGAGCTAAATAAAACCCTTTCTGTCCGTTTGGTTAGGTAACGTTAACGTCCTCTACATCTGAACTGTTAAGAGCGGAATTCGACCGCGGAGTTCAGTAATAAATGAGCAGTTTTTAAGTTGTTATCGCTGATCATCGACAGCTGCTCCCGAAGAACTTCGGAGCCACCACGAGCGGCGAAGCCGCAAGAAATATTTCAACCGTCCCGTCCCCACTCCTTTTTTTTGGATCGCGGCTCCGCCGCCAAAACTTTAATCACACAATACCGCCAGCTGCGCAGGCTATGCTATCTAAGATAGAGCTGCGGATCCGATTTCAGTAGCCGTCATTAAGCAGGTCGCCCGCGGGGGGGGCGGGGGGGGGGCAGGGGGGGTACTCCCATACATTATCTATAGAGGGTATGTGCCGCCCAACTGGGTCGTGATTTTGACGCTCCTGATTTAGAAGGGGGTATCCATTTCAGAGGCGTTTTCTAGAACGAAGTATAAAAAATTGTGAATCACGGCTTTATCTTCTGCTTAAAATTGTTGCTGATTATAAAGAAGCATTTATTTGATGTATAAGTCGAACAAATAAAGAAATATCTTTTTAAAACAACAGGGCTATTTCAATTTACAAACTTTCTAGAACGGAGTATAAAAAATTGGTCCATTTCTAGAACGAGGTATCAATTTTAGGGGAAATTTTTTTTAGAACGGGGTGCCAATTTGGAGTCCCGGGCAGCACATACCCACCCAAAAAATACCCAAGTGCCCCCGCCGGCGCCAGGTCGCTTTATTTTCTGATTTTAACCGTTTATTTGCGTTCCGAAATGGAACAGGTTTTACTCCCTATGGCAGTGGATATTATAATGAAGCTCAAAAATCATTTTAAAAACGCTCATTGCGAATTCTACGAACAATTTTCATGTCGAAAACGCAAGTTGCAGATACAAAGCCATTGGGTAGAATGCAAAGTTAACCTCGTTCCCAGGGTTCTTTGCTACCCGTCCCTAAGGAGCAAGAGACAACCTGAGAACGAGGTTGATGCAAAGTTTGTCTGAGGGGGTCTTAGCTGACAAAACCTATTTTTAGTAATATTGCAAAGCGAGAACCATGAGTGATTGATAACAATCTATAGCGTCAGATGCAGGATTACAGACGGGGTCAAGGTAACGCGAGGCAATTCAAACTCCATTAGAGTGCGTTTTATCAACAAACAGGTGATAACAATCGTAACTAATGACCAGCTGCCGGGCGATAACAGATCGGACCTACGCTACTGAGTACAGCACTTTTAGAGCCAAAAGGCTTTTTGAAAGTTGCAAAATCCCTCACTCTTAACATGCGGCCGAGAGGAAAATATTTCATATTAAAAAGGAATCTCAATTGAATGAGAAAATAAACCTTTTTTAAATAAAGACTTCGCACTTGCCCTCGTTTGGAAAAAGAGGCTCAGCGCAACTCGGAAATGGCCCATGCAAGGTGGCTTCGTTTAGATAATTTTTTGGGAAAAGAAATAAAACACGAAAGAAAATATAACACGATTTATTAAAAACTGAATCATTGGACAATGTAATTCTAGAGCTTTGATTGGCTTTGCCATCATGGTATATGAGCCATTATACCATACGCGTCTGCTCAAAATTAAAAACAAGCTGAAAGTCGGTTGTTTTTACAAATAAAGTCGGGAAGAATTCTTAATATTTTGTGGGCGTTCTTAATAAAACAACTATTCCACTCGCGCTTGTTGGATATGAGATGGTAGATAGCCAACGAGGCGCTGTTGGCTATCAACCATCTCATATCCCACGCAGTTGTAGCCCCACCCGTTTATAGTTTCAGTAATTTGCCTTCAAAGCATTATTCCGATGGTAACCTCTCCATCACGAGCAAGGCACATGGATCAGGTCGTCGTGGCCAGGGGCCCGTTTCTCGAAACCCCCGGTAACGTTTCAGGCCCGAAATCAAATTTTCAAATCAAAATATGAAGAATAAGAGCGCGGGTTCTGGCTAGGAAACTACTCCATTCTGTTTCATTAACTGATAGTTTTGTCATGTTAGATGCAAAACTATTGAAACCTCTACCTTGCATGTAAACAACAACAGCTTTACGGGTCCGTTAATTATCGGGACTTTCGAGAAACGGGCCCCAGGCCCCGAGGGTTGATCGGGTCGACAGGGCTCTAGGGATGGGACGCTGCAGGTCGTGAAACATATGCCATTGCTCAATTATTCCCGAGAAATCAACCAACAATTTTCCGTCAGAAAACTTTTATTAGCTTAATTTAGACATCTACATTGGGCACAACAGACTGCATGCTGGTGCGCACGCTCCGTAGATTCTGCCGCCAGTCCTCCAAGCGAGAGCGCAGTTCTTGCCACTGATTGGTTCCAAATGTTCGGTGAGTTGCAGAGCTGTAAACAGAATGGGGCGTTGGTAAGAAACAAGGAGAAGGCCAACATCTTTATAGTTTACCCCAAACTGAAGAGTTCAACTTGGTGACTTACGGCGATTTTTTTATATGCTGGCACCACAGGCATTTCCTTTCCTCTCCCACCCCACCCCCAGGATCCAAATTGTTTTGCTTCTTTTTACCTCTTGCCTTGCGCGTCTTCCAAACTTCAAACACTTGGCTAAAGATAAGGAGAGACGACTGCTATGCAGGCTACTGGCATGACGTAAGACAACCTTCATATCGAAGGTCGGATACGAGACTGAATACCAGTTCGAATCTGGATTTCGAATCAGTTTTGTCCGCAGAGCTTATCAACCTTTGCTGTTGCTAATCAGAAATTAGAGATACTTAAAGAATACAGTTGCTGTGAAATCTGACTATCTAACGCAAACGAACTTGGTTTAAAACTTCGTCAGCAGTAGTTTATTAAAAAATCTAAAGGTCCCGAACATTGTAACCTGCAAACGAACTTGGTTGAAAACTTCGTCGGCAGTAGTTTATTAACAAATCTAAAGGTCGCGAACATTGTTACATGCGTAGCAAACGTTTCCGTGCAGTTACGAGGAACGAGAGTCAAAGACCGCGCGACCATTTCTCGCGCGGCTAAAACCCGAAAATTTCGTTCCTCGGTCTTTACTTTGCCCCGAAACCAAACGGAAACGCTTGCTACTCAGGCTACGAACATTGACTCTCTTTATGGGTACCCTGTGCAGTGACGTCGTTTGCGTCGCGTGCTTTCCATCAAATCGTTGGTTATTCAGGCGAAATCGTCGCAGATCAAGAATTGCGTTTCGTGGTAAGGCTATTAGCGAGCTCAGCGGAACCAAAACGAAGACGGAAAAGAGAAAATGAGCAAACATCACACGACTAACGTTGTCAAACTGGATTGAAATGGCATTGCGATCACCGTTTTCATCTCTAAGATCGTCGCTTCTTAAATAGCCATCATCGCGACTTCTCTTTCGTCGGAAATACCCAGACTGAGGCTCAACATTGAGAAAGTAGTTTAGTTCGACTTGATCAAAGAGCAGAGGGCTATCCGGCTATGGATGGAGAAAGCCCCCTGTTTAGCTCAGTATCTTAAAATCAAAATCTAAGTTCCCCTCTATTATGTCAATATATTTCTTACAAAAGGAGCAGAGAGGATTTGATTAACAAATTTAAAGGGTTGGTACCTGATGATGACTTTTTTGTTGACTTGGTCTATCCTTGTACGGATAAGTTTTGAACGAAGAGCTGAAAGACAGAAAACAAACAAAACTGTTACACCAAAAATTTCCGCTTTGCTGATACACGCGCGAGGTGATTCTTGTCGCTGCGCATGAAAATTTGCTGCGATTTTTGAGCAGGCCGCGGATGTTCAAAAGGTGGGTAATGCTATTCACCGAATAAACCTCTATCCACCGGATAGTGCAGCTGGTTCTCCTCAGGCTAATTGGCTGAATAGTGATTTATCCTGTGGATAGTGCTATCAAACCTTTGAACAACCAGGGCCTGTTCTGATAAAAAACGAACAATATACGGAGTACTATTACAGTGAAAAGCTCAGAGGACAACTCCCCAAATTACGGACAGTTCTCTGGGTCCTAAAGATAGATACAAAACAAACAAATGAACAAACTATTCGCCCCATGAGAGGTAATCCAAAACAGTCTTTGGATTCTGGATTATTCCATGAGGTGGATTCCAGATTCCAGATTCCAATTGTTAGAGGGATACCGAATTCCTTTAGCCTGCGAGCAAGCTTTCCCGGGGCACTCTGGCGGCGGGGCGGGAAAGGGGCGATCCCGCACCTATTTGAAAGATTGTTTTTGATTGGCTGGGAAAACAATAGGGATTGTCACATAACGATGCCCTATCCTTGAAAACAATGGAAGTGCAGATTAAACGGGACCAGTGAAATAAGAGGTATAGAACGGTGCATGTTTACTGGGAAAAAGGAAGGAGAATATGCAACTATGTCTCTGGAATTTGAATTCCACCTCCAATTCACCTGTGGCTCCCCGTCAATTGAGCTGTCAGATTTCCGCTAATCAGCGCGAATGAAAACAAACATTGAAAAACAATGAAACAAACCTTCAATTATGAAGTCCTCAATTTCTTCAGTACCAATATTAAGCTCCTTGCAGAGATCGTCAAAGCTCACTTCTGATGTGGATTCGCCAAGGGACATGAATGTTAAAACTCGCATTTTGTGTACGTTGTTTTCATGGGACAAACCTGGCAAAAAAATTAAAGATCTGGATGTACCTTTATCATATTTTGCTACTTACTATAAATATATCAAATGGTTTACGATCATCTCGCCACCAAACCATCTAGCCATCAACGAAATCGCAAACCAAGAAGTCGGCCGATTCTTGGCCCAATTTTTTTTAAGTTAATAAATCCATCTCCATCATTGCCTGCGTCCAGACGTCTTCTATTTCCTTTGTTGCACGTGGAAAAGGGACCCTTTTCCGCGTGCAACAAAGGAAATAGGAGACGTCTGCACGCAGGCAATGTCCATAATTGCCATCCATATAGCAACAGACAACAGGAAACAGTTTCAGTGCCCAAATATACTGTAGCCTTAAATAACGAAACCGGCCATATTTTTTAGAATTCAATTGATGATGTTTTTTCAATAGGAAAAGATTTACAGTGTGAGTTAAACTTACCAGAAGAATCCACAAATTCTTTGTTCTTTTCATAGAAGGTGCTGTAGTCAGACAGCCGCCCAGAAACAAATATACTAAGAAGCTTAAACACATAATAAAACATGATAACTTTTTATGGTAACAAATATGCCGTTAACACTAAACAAGAATCAAAAAACGGTTATAAAGGTTTTTAAGAACAGGCTAAAAAAGTGCTCTCCTGCTCTTCTAAGCCCCAACAGCTATAAGCGTAAATTCCTCCTCCTAATATCACTGCAGCTGTAACATAAAACACAAGCTCATAAAAAGGAGGATATAATTATGTAATGCTTAGGAACATTAAAAAAAAACCCTTCCTTGTTTTAGGGTATTTTTTTCAGTTGGCCAGTCTTAATCAGTCCCAAAGACAAAAACTCTGGTGTCTAACAAAATTAAATGTGCGCTACTCATGCTGTTTAATTACACTTCTTTACCTTACATTGTCCTGGCTTTGAAATCTGTAGTAACTAACCTACAAAACATAACTTAAATTTTCCATGGCTTTCCAGAACTAGCAATTGAATACCATACCTTCCCAGGCCTGGAAAATGAAATTTGAAACTGCATGGCTTCCTAGAAATGTCTAAATTTCATGACTTTCCAGTTTTTCCATGACTTTTACGAACCCTGTGTACATGTACCTGGTAGATTGGTTCTCCCTGTAATGCAGCTACTGGAGGAAGGGCAAGGAGGAAGTCCATTATCAAAACGTTTGGTCTCCCCAGCAGGCTCACCACACAGTTCCTGGCATCATCCTTTACTTCAGAAGCATTTTCATCAGAGTATGTTCTTAGAAGCTCAACCATTACTTTGGTTGCTTCTTCACTGTACAAAAGAAGGAGAAAAGATGCAAACCACTAGAATTTGTGCATTTTTTTCATCTTGCTACCTACTGCATTAACCCAGTATAGCTATGGTGAATTATATTGCTCGCTCTGTGATAAGACAAGTGGACTTAAGACATTTTTATTCAATTTTGAGGTTTCAATTAGGATTGTACATTAATTTTATTCTTGAATTTTTGTATTTTTTTGCTTTGATATACATTTTTTATATTGTAAGAGCATTGAGATTTACTGTAATGCACTAGAAATAAATTATTACTATTATTATCATTATTGTATTTCCAAAAGAATTCTTCTGAAACTTATACAAGAACACCTAACAGAATATACTAAACTTAAACTGATATCCCAAAAATTTAAAAAACTGCGTGAAATATATAATAAAATTGAGTACTTGTATGCAAAGCCATGCAATCAATTTAATCAGTCAATCAATTTAAATTTATCAATCAATTTAAGGAACATTTTAGACATATTTTCTTCTCAGAGCACAAGAAATGGTATTCAAAGCATCAAGATTTCAACATATAAAATAAAATAATTTTGGTTTTATTTGTTTATTTTGTTTATTTTTTTTCTCCATTTATTTATTTTAGCCATTTATAAACAAAAAAGAAAGATGCTATTTGTAAATAAATGACAATCAATTTAGAGGGGGAAATTTTAATTACATATTTTCTTTTTATTTAGGTTAAAAGAGAGAAAAGTATAAACCCTATAAACTACGAAAATATATGGTAAAAATTTCAAAGCATCAAAAAAAAGCACATACTTCTGCATTCTTTTTCTGGGGAGAATGCCCTCTTAGTTGCAGAACCCCTGGAAAAGAAACTTTAATTTAATTTCTCTTCAACACAGAGCTTTAAATTTCGCGGCCATCTCGCTCAATGACCGCTGACCCCTTTGGTGCCCCGTTGGTGCTCACGTGATTCTTCGGCAATTACAAAGTATCTCGATTTTACATACAGTGTACTCAATGGTTGGACAGTCTGTATTATAACTAGGACAAGGCTGCATGGCAAAATGTGTAAGACCAATCATAGTATATGCATTCGCATTAGTGTTTTTATAGCTTTGCATACTCTACAAAAACATAGAAATCAGGATTTTATTTGAATTAATTTCATGAAGTGATATGAATCATGGGAGTTACAAGAGTGGGCAGGATCAGAAGAGGTTAAAAACCTGACAATGATTTTGTTTGTCACAAAGCTACAGTAACTTGACCTACCTCTGTCTGTCTTCTGTCAGAGCATCAAAAAGAAGTCTGTACATTTTTCGTGCCTTTTCACCATCAACTTCCCACATCTTTAACCAGGATTTGACCTTACAAAAAACATCAGTGTTAACATTATCAACATTGAATTTTTCCTGCAGCTATTCTATTTGAAACTCACCCACTTTTGATGGAAAATACATGTACAAGAAAAAAAAAAACTCACCCACTTTTGAAGGAAAATACATGTACAATAAAATAAAACCAAACAAGATCCCTAAGCAGTTGATTTCCCGCCTACTTGTACCATTTTCTCAGCAACTTGAAGTTTTCATGACAACCCCGCAGAGTACTAATACTCTGGTTATTCCAGGCGGCCAGTACTCTAATTTTCACTTTTAATATTTTCATTGTCGTATTTTATTTTTGAGCAAGAGTGAGTACTAATAAAGATTGTTGTTGTTGTTGCCACACATTGACCTCAGAGAGAACTGGTTATTAAAAGAGGAAAAGTTACTCTAGTAATAGAAATTATACAAAACATAAAACTATTGTACCTGCTCCAAAGGCACTGCAATGTGATCAATTAATCCGGCCTTGCCTGCCACCTTGATTTGTGTGAAGTAAACATCATATCTGACTGGGTCTCTCTCATGAAGCCAATTCAACAAGATACTAAGTCTAGTAACAAAAATAGGCATGGACTTTAGGCTTCAACAATGATACTAGAATATAATATATTGACGCAAACTACATGTATTTGTTTAAAGTAGCAATTGCAGTGCAGGTTAGAGATACAAGCACATCTACATAAGATTAGAAAACACCTATCAAAGACCTGGAATCTGTGAGGATGCGTTGATTATTTCCAGGCATACTATGACATACAGTGAACCAAGAAATACAGATACTCTGTACACAACATGTATATAATTTATTGTGTTTAACCAAGAAATTTATAGATACTTTTCTTTGCTTTGTTTTGACACCTCTGGCTTTGCTGAAGAGCCTCCTACTTTATCAGTGATCACCTCCTACTTAAAAATCTATTGAGAACCCTGGTTTACACCATCATCAATATTTATTAATAAAAAATAACAATTCTTATCTATTGCCAAAGTCATCACAAAACTAAATAATTCAATCACATTTGCTCAATATACACGTTGTAGTCACAAAAAAGGCAGGATTGTCCATTTACAGTGTCATTAACATACATTCTTAGTCTACTCATTGAGGTGTCCTCTTCTGAGTTAGCTTCAACAATTTTGTTGCAGAATTTCCTGATTAAATCATCTCTGTTTTCTGTAACCACCAATATCAAGGACAGTAGACTGTTCATCACACCTTCAAGTTCTTAAAAGATCAAAATAATAATCAATAAAATTAATAAATTATAGCTTTTGTATTTTTCACTTAACTAGTTGTGTTGTTCAGATGTTTGTATTTTAATACATGTATGCAGTTACACAAAGGGTTTCTACACTTTGGAAGAACTTTCACATAGCATTTTAAAAAATGAAATTTGGTGGAATTTTCCTTAGAGCACTTCTAGCAGGGTTGTCAGAAAGTTTTGAAGTCTGTGATGGCCTGAGTTGTCATTCAAATAAAAAACTCTTTGGAAGTCCAGGGATATTTTGATTTAAAAAATTTCCATCCATAAAGGGTTGTCAGAAAGTTTTGAAGTAGATGGCTGAGTTGTCAAAGTAACCAAGTAGGTGGAGCCAGCAAAAATCTCCATCCATAAAGAAATGTTCTAGGAAGTAGCCTCCCAATTCGCCAAGTAGGGGTTCATATGTCACGCATTCAAAGGAGTTTTGACAACCCTGTTCTAGGAGTGAAGGGTTTCAATAAACTGAGTGGTATTTCATTATTCAGTCACATACAATAATTATATTAAGATAATACTGACAGAGGAGAGGCAGGGCTGCATCCTTACTACTGTAGCACTAGTAAGTCATTGGTGGACTCTTGATCTGGTAATTTACATTGGCCTTGGGTGACAAGGAAAACTTAGCTTTTGGACAAAACTTCTAGATGCTGTACAATCTACATTTCATACTTTCTAAATAGAGCTAAATGACATTTACAATATTAGCTTGTGAAATCTAAAGTATCCTCAAATACTGTTTGAACAAAGGTTTAAGAACTAGTCTTTGAATGTTAACACTGACAATAAGCTACAAGCAAACACACCTGTCTCATTTTTAAAACTGATATCACAGGCTGCCAACAGCTGTTCCAAGTCTTCATGAAGTGGAGTTGTACTTTCCTCTTTTATTTCAGCCCCAAAAGATTTCAGGTAACCTCTAATCTCCTGTGCCTTTAGGAAATATAACTCATATCAATCAATGAAATACAAGTACAATTCCAAAGCATAAGTGCCGAAAATTAATACATCATATGGATTGAAACAAATAAAGTCAAGCTTTAACTAAGGATTAGTTCCCTGTAAAACAGTCGAACCTTGACTAACCACTACCTCTCTACAACAGCAATGGCCACTAAAGAGTGTCCCCAACTGCCAAATAACCTCTAGAAAACAGCCAGTTTTAATCAGCTGACTGATGAAAAAGTCAAGAATGGTCGTGAAAGTTGTTCCTTATGGTGCGTTGATGATTAATTGTCGCAATCGTATTTTGATTGTGTACTTCCATTTATACTGCTGCAATGCGCACAAATAGTCTACGATACTTATGGCGAATGTTACAAACCTTGCTCATTTTGTCAAGTTAACATTTTGATTCAAAACATTACTCAAGCTTTTTTTATTTCATTTCATTTTATCTCTATACATTATATAATTTATGACTGAATTACAATTATGGGATACTGTAAGCATGAACTGAGCACAATAAACATCTTGCACTCCCTCAAAAAAATCTGTCATATTACACCCCTACCTCCCCATAACGGCCACTTCTCCACGACAGCCAATTTCTTCTGTCCCCAGGGTGGCCATTGTGGAGAGGTTTGACTGTAGCTTCTTCAGTCCCAATAGTGGCTACACATACAATGTTCATGTATCAGAGCAGAAAATTTAGCTAGGAAGCACTCACTCTTTACTTGCTCTTAAATCTCTACTTGCTTAGGCATTAAACCTCTTGCTCAGAGACACAGGGATGGCAGAACAGATTTTCAAGTGGGAGGCTGACGTTTGAGCAGACGCACTTTTTCTTTTCTGGAAGGGGGTGGGTGGGGCAAGGGGGGAGGTAGGATGTTACAAATTGATATTTTTGATACTTGATTAAAATCGATAGTAGTCGATTATAATTTATTGAGTTTTTGTGATTATCGATTTTATCAATTTCAGTAATTAAACCATCGATTTTAATGATTTTGATCGAAAAATATTGAAAACATAAAAAACATAACAACTCAACAAGTTAACAGACGTACCGCTGGCCAGTTCAGCTTCGAATGGAAAAAAAAAAGAGTTACTCTTGCCAAATCTGTGATTATTGATTTTATCGATTATTACAACTAATCAATCGACAATTATCGAGTATTATTGAGTACTACTGATTATTTGATTACGTTTTAGATGATCGATTTCGATCGATTTGTGACGTCCTGGGGGAGGGTCAATAAAGAACCACTGTGGGAGGGATATCTGGTACAGACTGCACGTCTTAGGGATCACTTAGCAAAAGACTTATGAGGAAAAGATTCCTCATTCTAGGAAAGCAATGATCTATAATTGCATAAGCTTGCATGGAAATGTAGATGTAGACTACTGTAGATGTAGATGTCTAGGTACATGTAGTACAAGATCTACAGATAACTAAGGCCTAATAAGTTTAATCCATCGATCGAGGCACATGAATTGAGGAACACGTTTTTTCGACAAGATACATGCTTTATGTTGAAAGATTAAAGTTTTTATCATCTAATGAAAAAAGTCAGACTAACGAAAAGATAAGGAAATGAAAGAAGTGGTGGTTTTACTGAAGATCGGGACAACTTAAATTTACCGTGCGCTTTTCACTTCGACACGTGACAAAGTCAATTTGCTTTGGATCGGAAATTTAAAAGAAGCTTATATTATTTCAAATCAGATGTATGAAACAGATTGTTTAAATTTACCTGTTCCTGCTCTCCAACATCAATAAATGCTGGTAAAATTGGTTCCATTGGAATTTTTCCCAACTTTTTTCGCCTAAGACTTCGTCGTTTGAGACAAATTCACTTTGAACACCCGCTGACCAATGATAACTTTACATGTACGGTATGTAAAGCATCATGAAAGTACCTCTGTTACCTATCAGTACGCATACATAACAGCTTTCTTGTAACACGTGCAATGGTGCTCAAGAAGATAGATAACCGAATTCGTGTTTTGATAGAAAATGGCGTCCAAAAGAGGCACAGGTCTCTATTTGTCGTTGTTGGTGACAAAGGAAAAGACCAAGTGAGTTATGAAATCAAATTTTTTCTTCTTTTGGGCTTAACAGTCTTTGCAAAACAGTAAACCGTCCACTGCTAACCGGAGCTGCGAGCCAAGTGAATTTCATTTTGTTTACAACAGTACTTTTAAGCTTATTTAGGATGCCTTAAGAGTGGCAGTTAAGACAGCAGAGCTCCCATTCATGAAAAAGCTATTGACAGTGAACAAAGTAAAACATGCAGTGGCGGTTTATGCGCCGATCATTTCGAAAGTTCAACATCCCCCCGGGTAACCCCCGGCATTTAAACTTTTAAGACAGGAATGGTCAATTGCCTTTATAGTAGCCTAATGTACAGTGGTCAAGTGCCTGTTGGAATTTTCTATTGTTTTTAAGCTCAAAACAATGACTTAGCTGGACTAAATACCTTCAAAATTCCTTCATTTTACAAAGGAGCTCGATCTACACGTATCCTGCTCTGCTACCAAACACTTTCATGCAGTTAACCCAAAAATAATTTTGGCAAAGGTCAGGAGTTAGACTGTCAATTTATGTCTGATCAGAATGGATACTAATAGACCTCTTTCATGATGGTGGCCCATTAATATAATCTTTTATATGTATGATAGTTACATGTAGCCTTTCTGACCTTGCTAGCATGTGCAAAATACAAAACAATTCTTACTTTCAAACGAGGTCAGAAAGGCTAATTATCTTACCTATAAAAGAATATATTAATAGGTTACCATCATGAAAGAGATCTATACACAATGAGGCCAAATCTTTTAATTTTGACAGTCTTTCTTTAAAATATATGTCGCTGATGTCTCTGGCTGGTAGCTAATGTGTTTCATTTGTTGTCAATACTTATTGAAACCACTCTACTAGAACTTAACTTGAATTTTACAAATTCCTGTTTATTTTTTTTTTGTTAGGTTGTCATTCTTCATCACATGCTGTCTAAAGCAACAGTCAAAGCACGACCCACAGTTTTATGGTGTTATAAAAAAGAACTGGGATTTAGTAGGTATGTGTTTTATGAAGCAATGTCATTATGGCTTATATAATTTGTAATATAATGGCAATTGTGATCAAAATTAACAATAATAGGTAATTGAGTGAGGTTGAGTGCAATGTGAAGAATTATGCAGATTGAGGAGACTGTTACATGTAGGTGGATAACAGCTTCTGAGATCAACATTATATTTTTTATACCGTATGACAGCCCAATTCAAGCTTACCTCCTTGCATGTAGACTTTCTTCAAGGCTTTGGCTTAAGGTTCCAGCATATACACAGATGTTTTTCCCTTGGGGACACTACTCAAAAAATACATAACCTGTATCAAGAAACATACCCTGCATATTCTTGCATAATTTTCTTCCGGTAAGTTTTAGTCAGAAATTGAGCTCAGTATTTCATCTTCAGATAGCTGTGAACACCATTCTTTCTTTCAGTTTTGCCCAAGCAGCCTCATTCTCAAACAAATATACCATTGAATAGATGGTATGTTGCTCACATCTTTCAAATAATTTTGGTAACCGCCAGTTCGCTGTGGGATTAGAGCCAATCAGAAATAGCAAAATATTAATTCTTTAGAAAAAGCAATAATTGTATTTAATGTGTGATGTTTTATTGTACCTCAGCCACAGAAAAAAGAGAATGAAACAACTGCAAAAGAAGATAAAAAGTGGGACCCTGGATCTGAAGAAGGATGATCCATTTGAATTATTTATCTCAGCCACTAACATCCGATACTGTTACTATGCTGAAACACACAAGATTCTTGGTAATACATACGGCATGTGTGTCCTGCAGGTAATTTTATACATGTGTATGTCCTTAATACGTGTGCACTGTACCTTTAACCATACCATTGAAGGATCTTTACCACAGTGTAGTTTACTTAAGAATGCAACCTTTTCAAGTCTCATAATTATTGTTGTCTTGTGGATTTTACTGTGAAACTCACAAAACTGTAAAGACCAGAAATATTTATGGAGTGTTATTGTCTTGTGAGAAGTAAACCAATGAGGGACAGACCATTAGAAAACTTATAAGGGGGCGGGGGGGCGGGCGAAGTACAAAAATATTCGTGCAAGGGAAAATTAAATGAAAAAAAATTCTTGCACGCCAATTAATCCTAAAAAATATTCATGCTATGGCCTAAAAAAATTCATACAAGGAATGTGATAATGAAAAAAAATTCCTGCGGTTTGAAAATTCCCCTCCCCCCCTATAACTTTTCTAATGCTCTGTCCCTAAGGCATATAGAACCTCTCGTGGCAAAGCTAGAGGCGTACTGTGCCCCAAAGAAGAACGTCACGCATCTAACGCTATCTTTTCTTCTCGCACACAAAACGGACGACCTATCGACGCCGTTACCGATCTCCGCACAAAAGCCAAAACCTGCGAGTTTGGAACACTCAACGATAGTCTAATAAAGGACAGAATCGTGTGGGAATCGACAGCCAGAGTGTAAGGGAGCGACTCTTACGCAACAACGAGCTCACTCTAGAAGTAGCCATAAATACCGTGACGAGCCGCAGAGGCGAGTAAAACTCAAATGGAGTCCCTTAACAGCTTGGAAGCAGCAGCCGTAAACTTAGTCACAAAGCACCAAAAACAGCCACCAAGATATCAGCCTATGAAGAAAAGGCAGCAGAAACAACAGCACCAGCAAATAAAACCGTGTGGTGGTTGTGGTTACATCCACAAGCCAAAACAATGCAGGGCGTTTGGACAAACATGTCACAAATGTCAAGGAGAGATCACTTAGCCCATATGTGCCGCACAAAAGGCGCAAATACTGGCCACAAAACACTCAATGAAGTCGAACAGCAGTCAGACACTGACTCAGGCGAGGATCTATTCCTTGGAGAATTAGATTAGTCACAAAATGACAAAAAAGAACTGTTCACGAAATTAACCGTGAATGAGGAAGAGATCAGCTTCAAAATTGATACAGGCGCACAGTGCAATGTCATTCCCGAACACGCCTATGAAAAACTGAGCAAGAAGCCAAGCCTACAGCCTACTAACGTTAAGATAACTGCATATGGTGGGGTGCGTGTGCGATCAAAGGAACATGCACAATGACAATCAAGAAAAACAGCAAAAACCTTGATGCCAAATTCTTTATTGTCGCCGTTGAAAAAGGCTCAACCCTTAATTGGCCTTCAAACTTGCCGAGATCTGGAACTGATAAACATTAACAACGATGTTAATGAAGTCAAAACAAGTGGAACAGAAATTCTCGACGAATTTAAAGATGTCTTCACGGACTTGGTTTAGTCAACGGAGAATTTCACATCGAGCTTCGAGAAGACGCAAGGCCTACAATCCAACCGTCACGGAAAATTCCTCTGAGCCTGATGCGAAACTACAGAAAACACTAGAGAAACTGACAGAAATGGAAGTAATCAGCAAAGTTGAAAAAGCAACTGACTGGGTCAACAGCCTAGTCATCGTGGAAAAAAAAGACGGCTCATTGAGACTTTGTTTAGATCCGAAAGATTTGAACAGAGCAATCAAGCGTGAACATTATAAGCCGCCGACAGCGAAACCATTTCTAGTAAGCTCAATGGGAAGCGTGTTTTTACGGTAATTGACATGAGTAACTGCTACTGGCACAAAAAGTTGGATGAAGAATCATCCTATTTGTGCACATTCAACACGCCTTTTCGGCAGATACAAGTTTAACAGAATGCCGTTTGGTATCTGTGTAGCGAGTGACGCCGCTCAGAGAATGGTGGATGAAAACTTCAGCGACATTCCAGGAGTTCTCGCAGTGCACGATGACATTATCATCGCCGGAAAGGACACTACGGAACACGACCTAGCTCTCAAACAAGCGCTGGAACGCGCAAGATCACGCAACATAAAGTTTAACCGCAGCAAAGTACAGCTACGCGTCAACCAAGTGAAGTATCTTGGTGATATCGTGACCGCCGATGGATTCAAGCCAGATCCCGAGAAGATAAAAGCAATTGTGGAAATGCCAGAACCACAATGTAAGCAAGATTTGCAACGCCTACTTGGCATGGTCAACTATCTGTCGCAGTACATACCAAACATGTCAGAAATCACAGCCCCCCTACGCAACTTGTTGAAAAAGAACATGCAATGGGTGTGGTATGACGAACATCGATCCGCGATAGATAAGCTGAAACATGCACTCACGAACACTCCCGTTCTGCAGTATTTCAACCAAGACAAGCCAACTACAATCCAAACCGAATTCTCGGGGGTGTCTGAGATAATGGCTTTCTCATTATCGCCTCAAGTGGTTTGTGGTCACTTTGCACAATTATGTCATTGCCGTAGACAAATTGGTGAAATCGCTCGCACGCAAATACAATAGCCAATAGTTCTTTCTCGATTTGAGCATAGTTCTGTTCGGCATTCGTCAGCGATCTTGACGCCAGAATCACGGGGTGTCCTTCTTGCAGGAGGCAACTTCCGATTCCACTTTGCGGCGTCGGTTTGGATTGTAGTTGGCTTGTCTTGGTTGAAATACTGCAGAACGGGAGTGTTCGTGAGTGCATGTTTCAGCTTATCTATCGCGGATCGATGTTCGCCATACCACACCCATTGCATGTTCTTTTTCAACAAGTTGCGTAGGGGCTGTGATTTCTGACATGTTTGGTATGTACTGCGACAGATAGTTGACCATGCCAAGTAGGCGTTGCAAAATCTTGCTTACATTGTGGTTCTGGCATTTCCACAATTGCTTTTATCTTCTCGGGATCTGGCTTGAATCCATCGGCGGTCACGATATCACCAAGATACTTCACTTGGTTGACGCCAGTAGCTGTACTTTGCTGCGGTTAAACTTTATGTTATGCGTGATCTTGCGCTGCAGCGCTTTGTTTGAGAGCCAGGTCGTGTTCCGCAGTGTCCTTTCCGGCGATGATAATGTCATCGCACACTGCGAGAACTCCTGGAATGTCGCTGAAGTTTTCATCCACCATTCTCTGAGCGACGCCACTCGCCACACAGATACCAAACGGCATTCTGTTAAACTTGTATCTGCCGAAAGGCGTGTTGAATGTGCACAAATAGGATGATTCTTCATCCAACTTTTTGTGCCAGTAGCAGTTACTCATGTCAATTACCGTAAAAACACGCTTTCCCATTGAGCTTACTAGAAATGGTTTCGCTGTCGGCGGCTTATAATGTTCACGCTTGATTGCTCTGTTCAAATCTTTCGGATCTAAACAAAGTCTCAATGAGCCGCCTTTTTTTTTCCACGATGACTAGGCTGTTGACCCAGTCAGTTGCTTTTTCAACTTTGCTGATTACTTCCATTTCTGTCAGCTTCTCTAGTGTTTTCTGTAGTTTCGCATCAGGCTCAGAGGAATTTTCCGTGACGGTTGGATTGTAGGCCTTATGCCTTCTCGAAGCTCGATGTGAAATTCTCCGTTGACTAAACCAAGTCCGTGAAGACATCTTTAAATTCGCCGAGAATTTCTGTTCCACTTGTTTTGACTTCATTAACATCGTTGTTAATGTTTATCAGTTCCAGATCTCGCAAGTTTGAAGGCCAATTAAGGGTTGAGCCTTTTCAACGGCGACAATAAAGAATTTGGCATCAAGGTTTTTGCTGTTTTTCTTGATTGTCATTGTGCATGTTCCTTTGATCGGCACACGCATACCCCACCATATGCAGTTATCTTAACGTTAGTAGGCTGTAGGCTTGGCTTCTTGCTCAGTTTTTCATAGGCGTGTTCGGGAATGACATTGCACTGTGCGCCTGTATCAATTTTGAAGCTGATCTCTTCCTCATTCACGGTTAATTTTGTGAACAGTTCGTTTTTGTCATTTTGTGACGAATCTAATTCTCCAAGGAATAGATCCTCATCTGAGTCAGTGTCTGACTGCTGTTCGACTTCATTGAGTGTTTTGTGGCCAGTATTTGCGCCTTTTGTGCGGCACATATGGGCGAAGTGATCTCTCCCTTGACATTTGTGACATGTTTGTCCAAACGCCCTGCATTGTTTTGGCTTGTGGATGTAACCACAACGACCACACGGTTTTATTTGCTGGTGCTGTTGTTTCTGCTGCCTTTTCTTCATAGGCTGATATCTTGGTGGCTGTTTTTGGTTCTTTGTGACGAAGTTTACGGCTGCTGCTTCCAAGCTGTTAAGGGACTCCATTTGAGTTTTACTCGCCTCTGCGGCTCGTCACGGTATTTATGGCTACTTCTAGAGTGAGCTCGTTGTTGCGTAAGAGTCGCCCCCTTACACTCTGGCTGTCGATTCCACACACCATTCTGTCCTTTATTAGACTATCGTTGAGTGTTCCAAACTCGCAGGTTTTGGCTTTTGTGCGGAGATCGGTAACGGCGGCGTCGATAGGTCGTCCGTTTTGCGTGCACGAGAAGAAAAGATAGCGTCAGACGCGACGCTCTTCTTTGGGGCACAGTACCTCTAGCTTTGCCACGAGAGGTTCTATCTTATTCTCCTCGGCTTCTGTAAATGTAAAAGTGTCGATACTTCGAGTGCCTCTTCTCCTATGGTGTGTAGTAAGACTGCACACTGTGTTTCTTCGTCTTTTGAGTCTACTCCACTCGCTTTCGCATAGAGGACCCACCTCTGTTTCCATTTTCGCCAGTTTTCTGCGACGTTGCCGTCCATTCGTAGAGGTCCAATGGGCTTCATGTGTTCCATGATTGGCCACTTCTGACACCTGCAAGAAGGTGATTCCTGCAAGAAGGACTGACTGCAAGAAGGACTTGATTCCTGCAAGAAGGACACCCCGTGATTTACGCGTCAAGATCGCTGACGAATGCCGAACAGAACTATGCTCAAATCGAGAAAGAACTATTGGCTATTGTATTTGCGTGCGAGCGATTTCACCAATTTGTCTACGGCAATGACATAATTGTGCAAAGTGACCACAAACCACTTGAGGCGATAATGAGAAAGCCATTATCTCAGACACCCCCGAGAATTCAACGATTGCTAATCAGGCTTCAAAAGTACAATTTGACAGTTCATTTTGTACCGAAAACTGATGTTCATTGCAGACACTCTATCAAGAGCGTATTTAAATGAGACTGTTGAGGGTCCCCAAGACCTCAATGATGACATCAAGTGATGATCCACAGTTTCATCACCGAAATCCCAGCGAGTCCAGAAAAGTTGACACAGCTGAAAAATGAAACCGCCAAAGATGCAACACTTCAGGCGCTGAAAGCTCAAATACAAAAAGGTTTCCCACCCCATAGAAAAGCCTTGAGACCAATCCTCTCGCCATACTGGATTGTCAGAGATGAGCTAAGTGAAGCCGACGGTCTTCTATTCAAAGGAAGACAGCTTCTCATTCCAAAAGCCATGCAGCACAGCGCCCTGGAAATGATACATGAAAGCCATCTTGGAATTGAAAAGTGTAAAAAGCACGAGCAAGAGCCATTGTTTATTGGCCTGGAATGTCACGCGACATCCATGATACTGTTGTCAAGTGCCCGACATGCTTGACACACAGACACAAGAACCAGAAGGAACCAATGATTCCCCATGCCATACCAGATCGTCCATGGCAAAAGCTCGATCCGATGTGTTTGAACACAAAGGAAAACCGTACCTAGTAGTGGTGGACTACTACCCAAGTACATCGAAACTAGCCTAATGCGTGACAAAACCGCGGGAACCATTGTCACGCACATGAAGTCAATCTTCGCTAGACACGGCATCCCTGAAGAGCTCGTATCAGACAACATGCCTTACAACAGTAAAGAGTTCAAACGATTCGCAGACGACTGGGGATTTGAACTGATCACCTCAAGCCCCACATATCCGCAGTCTAATGGCCTCAGTGAGAAAGCAGTACAAACCGTTAAGCGAATACTAAAGAAAGCAAGCGACCCATACATCGGCCTGATGGAGTACAGAAATACTCCAGTGACAGGAATGACATATTCGCCATCCCAGCTTCTCATGAGTCGCACCACCAGAACCAAGATCCCTGTAACACAAGCGCTCCTGAAACCAAAGATTGCTACTGAGGTCAAACAACAACTGTTAGCCTGTCAACATCAGCAAGTGCACTATTACAATCAAGGAGCAAAGCCCTTGACAGATCTCAAACCACAGGAAGCTGTCCGTCTACGCCAAGGAAAGACCTGGGTACCTGCCGTAGTAAACGAGAAAGCAGAAACCCCGAGATCCTATTTAGTCACAACTACGACCGGACAACAATATCGCCGGAATCGCAAGGATCTGCTACAAACTGGAGAAAACCCTCCTGTAATATCAGTCCCGCAAGACAACGACTTTAATTACACTACAGAAACTCAGAAAACCTCAGCAACCCCCAACAAAGAACAACACCCTGTACAACCTCCTGAACAACAGCAACCCAACAACCCAGAATCGACGACACCACCTAGACGCTCCTCGCGAATCACTACTCTTCCCTTTAAATTCAAGGACTATGTCATGAATTTCTAAGAACTGAACACTGAAAATTAGAACATTGAACTTTTGTCATACCGGAAGTGTCATTGCTATTATTCGATTATTTTTTTTTAATGATAGTGTTTGATTTCATTCTCAAAAAGGGAGATGTAATAATAATACTGATTATGCTACAGTTGACTGACATGTAATCCTACCCCCTGGAATGTGCTATATATATCAACCGCATTCCGTACCAAGATGAGAGATCAATAAACCTTCGAGCCAGTCAACCCTTGTTATGTTTCTTAGTTAAAACCCTGAACCCGTTCATCTAAGCAAAGCTTATTACAGGCATGAGATAACTGAACCGCAGACAGCAACGGTAATTAATTTGTGGTTTTGAGGTTTGCTTGCGTATCCAGAACATTATTCTGATTGGCCAGTACACAATCAACATTCCTGAAAAATTTCAGTTGTTCACGGTTTTCTGAGTTTTTCAGCAAAAGTACATGTAGTAATGTATTGTCAGTACCTTAAATCAATCAATCAATCAATCAATCAAGCAAACAACCAACTGAGCATGCAAGTGCTTGTAAAATTCATTTCAATTATGCCATTCTAAACTACAAGTCAGGGTTCCATTTAAACTACAATAGCTCTGCTAAATTGGATGCTCCTGGATAAATATTGATTTAAATAAATAAAAATAAAATAAAAGAACATTCTACACTTGTACATGTACATGTAATACCACCTAAATTTGTAAATTTACCTTCATGGTGCTATAAGGGGATGTGCCACTCAACAGGGAGTGCTTTTGGCCTCTCTGACTTTGGAAAAGGGTATAAAATACTAAAATAATACTTAACTTGAAATCTGTTTGTAACAGGGTCAATGCCCTTTTCATTCTTCATTTTTTGCCATAGGTTTTTTGTTAATTATAAAACAGCTCAGGTGATCATCCTTTCTTTACGCGATGTGTACCATGTATATTTCATGATTCATTCCAAAAATTTCGCTGTTTCTGATTGGCTCCAATCTCCCGAATTATTCTTCATAACCATCTGGTGCTTATCATATCTGGAAAATGTGAGCAATAATTTATTATACCATTGATTCCATGGTATAAATAAATTATGATATACCATCATGATGCAACAACCTCATTTCCAGGTGCAGTAGCCCTGAGTGAATTAAAAAGGAAAATAGTGTTCATGGCTATTTGAAGATGAAATTGCTGGATTTAATTCTAACAAACTTAATTGGAGATAATGTAAAATATATCGCTCCAAGGATGTTATCCGCTTTTTGAGAGTATCTGCAAAAGCAAAACATCTGTTTATATCCTGAAACCGTGCTGAGAAATAGTCCAAAGTTTTAAAGAACGTCTACAACAGGGTAAGCTTGTTACACCCTTAGAAATATTTTGAATCAATGATGATAAAACAATCATTGAATTCTGCTTTCGTGTGATGTGAAGAATTAGTGCAGTCTTGGAGGATCTGCATAATTATTCACATCCTACTCAGCTTAATTCAGTAATTGCTAAACCTCCTAATATTAAATTAAGTAAAATTCCTTCACAGGTTGAACAAGTATTTAACCTCTTCTGGTTACAGTGTAGCTTGTTGCTAGTGTTGTAGCCCTTGTAACCTAGAGGTTGAATACTGACTTAACCTGAGAATGAATTTTACCTTTTTAATGGCTTCATCATTACACATGTACATGCAGACCTGTAATTTGTTTTCTTAAAGAAATGATAATGATTATATCTTTGAATTTTTTAAATGATCTCAAGGATTTTGAAGCTCTCACACCAAATCTTTTGGCTAGAACAGTAGAGACAGTAGAGGGAGGTGGGCTTGTTATTCTTCTACTCAGAACAATGACCTCTCTGAAGCAGTTATACACAATGACAATGGCAAGTAGCATATTACTGTACATAATATTGCATTTGTTTATTTTCATGCCTACTTTGCATTTTCCTCTTAGCATATGTCCGTTTCCTCACTCAGCTTTCTTGGTCACTTAGTTTTTTCTTAATCAACCACTTGTAAAACGTCATTCTTCATTCTTCATTCCTCAATATTCATTCACTTTTACCACTTTTTCTTATTACCAGTGTGTGTAAATTTGTCTCTCAAGCCACCCTTAAAGTTGGCTTCATTGGTTAAGCTCTGCTGAGTGGGAGGCCGTTGGTTCTAACTCCGTGAGACCAACACTCAGGATTTTTCATAACTGAGCAGAAAGTGCTGCCTTTGTAAAGACATTAGCAAAATGCATAGATTTTCTAGGCTTCTTGGATATTAGGGATGATAAATCATAGGCCCCATCTCACAACCCCTGCACATACACTGTCCCACACACTGTTTGTAAAGAGTAGGGGAAGTACATGTAGTCCCCGGTACGTGGTCTGGTGTATCTATCAAGTGGGGTAGGGACTTATGGGCCTGCAGTAGTTGACTTCACGTGCTGTTGCAGTGACCCTGCCAAGAATTGGTGATCCTACATGTAAGTCAATAATAAATAAAATTAAGAAAGATACGTCATCAACAATGAACAACTACCAACTGCATATTTTTATTTTTAGGATGTGCATTCCAGATACCGGACAGAATCCCATCAGGATGTTGTGGGAAGATTTAATGAAAGGTTTGTTACCATAATTTGTTCATTAATTTTTGATAACGCATTTGAAAAGCTAGAAATATTTTCTCATGTACATCATTATGAACCAATTTTGTTTATTGATATGAGTAGATATTGTAATCCTGTTTTCACATTTTTGTGATACAGTAGGTAAGGTTTTAGGTGGCTGCAATTGGATTTTTCAGGGCCAATACCTTCCACGTTTGAGCATTAAATATGTCACAATTAACTTTTATGGTTTGTCAAATACAAAAGACTACAAGTATTGACAGGAAAACCCTTAACAGGAACTACTTCCCTCACTGAAGGCTACAATAAATAAAAATCAAACACCTTATAAAATCATAAATAATTGATCGTACTACGTAAAAATTATCTTTGCAAAACAGCAACACGACACTGAGAGAACTCAAAACAGAGTGGGATTGTAGCCATAGCAGGATGGATTCAATACAATAATAGTGGAACAGCTGTCTATGGCTGCAATCCCGCTCTGTTTTGAGTTCTTTTGGTGTCATGTTAGTGTGTTTCAGAGATAGTTTTCATGTATTTCGATCAGCATTGCAGTATTCTGCTTGCAGAATTTACTATGTCTACATATTACTAGGGATATTTGTTTTCCGTGTAGGGGAACACATATCACTCGGGATGTCTGCTTCCCAGGTATAGAAACAGATGTCACTAAGAATATGTGTTTCCCAGGTAGGGGAACACATATCAGTGGGGGTATACATGTATGTGTTTCTCGGGGGTGTTTTCCTGTTAGGGGAACACATAATTATCACTAGGGATTTGTGTTTCCCTGTTAGTGGAACACATGTTACTTAAGGGATATGTGTTTCCCTAGTAGGGTAACACATATCACTAGGGATATGTGTTTTCCAGGTAGGGGAACACATATCACTAGGGATTTGTGTTTCCCTGGTTGGGGAACACATATCACTATTGATATGTGTTTCCCTGTTAGGGGAGCACATATCACTGGGGATATGTGTTTCCCTGGTAGGGGAACACATATCACTAGGAATTTGTGTTTCCCTGTTAGGGGAACACATATCACTGGGGATATGTGTTTCCCGGGTAGGGGAACACATATCACAAGGGATATATGTGTTTCCCAGGTAGGGGAACACATATCACTAGGGATATGCTTTTCTCTGGTAGGGAAATGGGATTTTCTTTTGATGTCTTTTTCAATTTTTTTGTCTGATTTCTTGTCCCATTTTTTTCTGATTTCATGTCTGAGTTGATGTGCGATTTTCTTGTCCGATCTTTTGTCCGATCCTTTTTTCCGATATATTGTCTGATTTTCGTGCGCGATTTTGTCCTTTTTTTTGTCTGATTTTTTTTTGCTATTTTTTTGTGTTATCTTTTGCCCGATTTTCTTTGCGATCTCTTGTCCGACATCTTTTCCGATTTTTTTCGATTTTCTTGAATCAATGTCGGATTTTATATCCGATTTGATGTCCGATTTTGTATCCAGACAAAACATTGGACAAAAGATCGGACATGATGTCATTTCCAATGTTATCTCCGATTTGATATCGGATGTCCGATTTGTTGTTCGATGGCCGATTTCATGTTCGATTGATCTCCAATTTAAAATCCGATTTGTCGGGACAACGTATCGGACCTCAAATCACACTAGAAAATCAGACAAAAAAAAAGCAAAAAAAATCAGCCATAAAATCGGACAAAAGATCCAACATGAACACAGACTAAAGGTCGGACATGAAATCGGAAAAAAAAATTTGGACGACAAATCGGACATGTCATAACAGTCATAACGCAATAAACATTCCTGAGATAATTATTTTGACTGTAATTTCTGACAAAAAATAGTTACATTGTGGCTTTTTTCTCGCAAGTTTGCCTGTCTAGCAATTTATTATACGGGCGGTAATGTCATTCTAAAAAGTTTTTAGAATGTCTGGCTTGTTTTAAAGAAACTATTTAATATTATTACTCTACATGTGCACACTGTAACAACAAAAGAAAGATCTCTGCCAGTCATTGTTATTGTTGCGTAGCTGTGTCCAGAGGACATTTCATTTCTACATGTCCTTTTTGTGTGAGAAATAACAGTTATGTTAATTTTTTAAATTATTTTTTGCTGCATCAAACAGATTTATATTATCACTGACATCATGCAAGAACTGTATGGTGATTGATGATCAGCTCAACATTTTACCTGTCTCTTCACATACTCTGACAATTACTGCACTTCCACCTAAATCAAAGGTATTTCTTGTTTTCTGTTATTTTCCCCATTAGATGTTGGTTAAACTAAAACTAGTTAATTTGGAACACCAACCAACCTGTCTTCAAAAGTCCATTACAGTGTACATGTAATTTCTTGTCAATGAAAAGTTATGCATGAAAAACACTCAATTCGAGTACTTAGGTCCGAGACTCTGGAGCAAGATACCAAGCAAGGACAGATCGGCTGCCAGTCTTAAGCAGTTTAAGACCCAGATACGCAGTCTTGATTTAAGTAACATTTTAGATGGATATATGGATTACGCTTTTAATTACAAGATTTTAGAATTTTGGTAATTCTAAACAGAGTTTTTGTAGAATGTATGTTAGTGAGTTATCATTAGTAGTTTCTAATTCTAACTCTTAGTAGATTCTAGTTTCGACTCTATATCAAGCGGTTTTGCATTTTTAGATTGTCTTTTAGCAAGTTAGGTGTCCCCTATTAGCAGTGGCGAATCCCCTCTGCTAGATTTTTGCTTGACACGTTAATAAAGTCATCATTGTTTATTAATGATTTCCAATCAAATCGGTGAGAGTAATAATACATGTAAGATTAGAGTTCTCAATTTCTGATGGAACCTCAGATGGCTCAAGCTCACCTTTACAATCCTTAGTGAAGGGGAGCATGGAATAACACCCTACATGTAGGTGACTCCTGATCTTGTATGAAATTCTCTCTTTTGATTCCCTAGAACATGCAACTTAAGACTGTAACGAGAATCTGTTAGTTTATCCAAAGTCACTTGTGGTTTTATCACCCCAGCTTTCAAATGATAAGCTTGCTCACAGGTGTAATCAGCTGCCATATTACACCCACTTGCCTCATTATTGCTTCCACGTGGTTTTTTTTCGGGTGGGGGGTGTACAAGGACACACCAGGAATCTTCAGAACAGGCTCAGAAGCTCATACTCTGCCCGCTAAATGTATTTTGTTTGCAATGTGTTCCAAAATTGTTCATACAGTACAGGACATACTGTACATGTAACAAAATGTACTGCAGACTCTTCATTCTACAGTTGTACTAACCTTTGCGTGGCTGGCTCAGTCGGGAGAGCACTGGTCTGCTGAGTGGGGGGGTCGCAAGTTCAAACCCCCAGGCTGGACCAACACTCAGGGTCTTTAAATAACTGAGAAGAAAGTGCTGCCTTTGTAATGACAGCTGCAAATGGTTAGACTTGCTAGTCTTCTCAGAGAAGGGTGAAAATCCGTACGTCCTGTCTCATCGCACTTTCACTTCTCTGCTCCAGAAGAGTAGGGGATGTAGACCCCGGTGGTGTGGCCAAACTTTCCTGGGCTGTGTGGGTTATCTGTAAAGAGAGATCATAAAATAAGGATAAACTCTTGATCTTCCTTCAGGTGTCATAATGGCTACCTGTAAGCATTGTATATATTATGTATACTACATTAATTTTATACTGTTTTCATACGTGAATCGGTGATAGTTGTGGATGATAAGTATTGATTTTGTGTAGAAATCACTAGTCTTATTCTCTGTTTTCAGTGGAGCCATCGGGGGGGGGGGAGGTGTCTACGGGGCCCACCCTCTCATCCAGAAATTTTGTGGATTGTATTTTTAGCTACTCCCGGGACAAGCTGTCCCAGCTTGAGGCTTAGTCCGGTGATCAATCTTTTTTCCAATACCTTAATACAATTTTTATTGGGGATGAATATAAATGTTGTTGAATAGATCGCTGTACACTGTACTGTGCTCTGCCAATATTATTCTTACAGCTGAGCAGCTTCACTACATGTAGTTCATGCATGCTACTGTAGGCAAGAACTTTTATTTGAAGCGCAGTTCTAGCACTGGGAGTTGTTCAGGTTATGGTCACCTGTCGTTGTAACTCTCTTTCTACTTCTTTTACATGTAGGAAGAGTCTATGACAGCAAATGAAGTTGAACTAAAGAGTTTGAAGGAATCCTTGCAAGACACACAACCTGTTGGAGCCATTATCAGCTGCTGTCGCACTCTTGACCAGGTTATTGTTAACATTAGTTATCAGTGAACAATAGTTTTATTCATGAGTGTAAGATTAGCTTGCATGGAAAAAATCTCCTTCCTTCTTGTTGAGTCTATCTCTAAGTGTACAGCTGTAAGTATTTGCATTTTACTTCAGTTTCATGGTCCTGTTCCTTAAAAGTTGGTTACTTTTGACCCCAGTTTAAGGCAAATCATATGCAAAGTTTTTTCTCTGAAAAAATCATTAACTCTTAGATGCAGCTTTGATAACAGAACAATTCTTTTAACAATCAGTTGGAATACATGTATTATGAATCGCAAAGTCATTGTGAAAATAGTCAATTTTCCAAATTTTGCAGTTTTCGCAAGGCCATCGCGAAAAGTCGTTAATTTTGTAACTTTTGTAGTTTTCGCAAGGTCATCAAGAAAAATCATTAATTTTGCAAATTTTGCAGTTTTTGCAAGGGCCATTGCGAAAAATTGCTCATTTTATAAATTTCGTAGCAGAGTTCAATTCTGGACATAAGTGGTACGGTGTGCATGTATGTTCAAACCTCCTGAATATAATCATCAGAGACAGACTCAGTGCCTGCATATTTATTAAACACTGATCATGTCAATGTGGGAACGTTTTTGTGAAGTTTCTTATCTTCGGGACAAAGAGATAGATAGGTGTCTGGAAGGAAAGGATTACATAATTTCCTCCCTGAGTGGGATTTTGTGTGATTTCTGTTCCATGAAAGGAATATATGCTACATGTAGTTTCTTTAGCCAGACTTGTCCAACTAGGACATCATTTGCATGATTACTCCACCAATATGTACTGCACATGTAAACCTGGGTTGGAAGCATCAATTTGACTTACTAATGATCATGGAAACAAATTGCTGTTACCGAGACTCAGCCTAAAATGCCCATAGTAGAGAGAAGTCGTTACATCACATTGCCATGGTAGCAAAATTTCTTGATGACAACAAACCGAAACTGTCACTTAAAAAGTGAATTTGCACTGTTTCACACTTCATCGATCTCATTCAATTTTATTTCATTTGTCAAATACTGTGAAATATTCTGGGGTGGAATCCGAAAGGACCGTATTTAAGTGTGTAAAAAGAAAAAGGAAAGTTTTGTGTTGTGTTCACCTACTCCATAAAGCTCTGCTGACGTGTAAAATTAGGACGTTTCATGTCGCAGTCGTGCAACGACGGCTAAGAAATGTACAAAAAATCGTGATGCACGTGCAAAGTTGTTGCTTTGCGTATACAGCTATTTCGAAAAAGGTTGTCGGAAAAAGTGCACGCGACAATCCCGAAAGGTATTGTGGGTGGCTTTGAGGGCACTGTTCTTCAAAGAAATTTGAAAGAATGGTACGGGAGGCCACGGACATATGTTTGCGAGTACTAAAGGAAAGCAACAAAAGTAGGTTCGACAGCTTCAGTCGTTACGAACAGTGTATTAATCATATCCCATATTACCTTTCGGGATTGTCGAGTGCGCATTTCTTCCGACAACCTTTCTCAAAATAGCTGTATAAATCTATTGCTTTTTGCCGTTCTCGTTGTCGTTGCCCTCGTCATTGCTTAAGCTTCCTATTCTGGTGATCCAAAAATTTTGCTACCATGGTAGCATGTTGTCACACTTCTCCTTTCTATTGCGATTAAATTTAAATGCCCAGTACACTTTGTATACATGTACTCCTGTAGCTGTGATGGCTTACTATATGTTTCTGGTCTTTTAAGGCCAAAGCTGTCCTCAAATTTGTGGAAGCCATATCAGAGAAAACTCTACGGAGTACTGTGACCTTGACTGCTGCACGAGGGCGTGGAAAATCAGCTGCTTTGGGACTAGCACTAGCCTCTGCTGTTGCATTTGGGTAGGTAATAAAGTACACAATCGAAGTAGCATGTCGTATGCTGCAGATCTGAGATCTGAAGAGGCTGTTTGGGGGAGGAGCTGGGCTCATTTCCTGAACAGCAGTTGGTAATCGAGCTTAACCATAGCTCATTAGGATTTCATCCACAGATTTAAAATTAAGAGTGGCAAATTAATGATCTTGCCATAACTTGGTCTAGAAGGGGGAGGGAGTGGGGGAGAGAAGGGTAAAATATTCTTTTTCCTTGTTTAGCTGATTATTCCACGTTATAATTCATTCAAATTATATCTCCGTTTCTGATTGGCTCAAATCTCCTAGCCTACGTGTAGCCGCACCCCGTGGGAAGGGTGCGGCTACACGTAGGCTAAAATCTCCCGGCTAATTCTTCACAACCGAACTTGCTCGGGATTGTTAGCCTGCGTCGTAGACGTAATCTAACTCCCGGGTCACTAACGTCTGCGAAGCAGCGCTGATTTCCTAGTTCTGGGCCTCCAACGGTCTTAACGAATTACCGGAACTACCGCGCGGATGTACGTTTCGAATTTTCCTTCAACCCGATTGGCAAATCGACGATGGCATTTTTAACAGGCCAATCATGGCGCGTATTTAAATCCTGGTACACAGGTGGGACCCAGAACAAGGATTTTAGCGCTGTTTCGCAGACGAACTTAACCAGAGTTTAGTTTCCTCTGTGACGCATGCTAAGGACTGTTAGATTGTAGCCTATCGGCAGGTTAGGGACGTGTATTAAGGTCCCCAAGAATACCTATATCTCGTGTTTTTTTTTTACGTGTAGGTACTCCAACATGTTTGTCACCTCACCAAGTCCTGAAAATTTAAATACACTGTTTGAGTTTGTTTTCAAAGGATTTGATGCATTGGAGTTTCAGGTTTGTAATCCAGCAAAAATTCCGTGAGTGATCTGTAAAATGGCATTGAGATCGTGAGTGAAAGCGAAATAGGCTTCACTAGTACCGATTTATACGCTTGAGCGAAGGGAGACGAGGTAGAGGAAACTTTTTTTACAGTCAAGCCAATTGAAGTGTATCCCCTAAGATTCTTTTAATGAATTTATTATTCGAAAGTTGAATCTGTTAGTAGTTGTGGATTGCAGATTCATCTCTGCATTCTTGCATGCGTAATGAGCCGTGAATTCACTCGCGAGGCAGTCAGGAAATTTCTACCAGCTCAGCTTCCCTGAATTTTATGGAAATGTCTTCTAAGAAATGTAATCCATTGAAAGATGTTCAATCTGACCAAATACAGAAGAGTTGTCGTAAAATATTCACAGCTTATTACACATGCAGGAATGGCGATTTGACTTTGACACTAGTTACGGGAACGACTAACTGATTCATTTTTCAAACTGTTTTTTAAGTGATCGAAATTTTTGTGCAGTTTCACTTCTTGGGTTCTTATGGAAAGGACTTTGTAACGAAATGACCGGTTTCCCTTCCAGGGCGTGAGAAAAGGTGCTGTCCAATAGGCTGGGGCTAGTGGAGCGTCCCTAGCCTCCCACTCAGACGTTCATAGGGGTTTGTCGCGCGTTCCTGCCCCGCTAGTGGGGCAGGAACGCGTTATGAACCTCTAAGAACGTCTGCGTGGGAGGCTAGAGCGTCCCTTGAGGCTGGCATGTTGTTATTACGAGTTATTCAACTGGCAAGTGACATTTGTGGAGATAAAATACTTTCAAGTGATTGAGGGGGCGGGCATAGGCCTGCATGACCTAATTGTAGGCCTGGGGTAGTAGACTTCAGCAACACCTTGCTTAAAAGGCAAGCGATTTTTCCCAGTTTTTATCTCACCCTGAGATTCCATAAGGAATGTGAGTTAACCGTCTGGCCAACATGCCACCACAATAATTATAGGTTTGTTCCTATAGCAGCTGCTAATAAGTGATGTCGGGTTTGTGTAATGCATTTGAGTATGATCGATCTGTATCTTTGTAAGTGTCTCGGATCTTCATTACTACTTTCCAGAAGAAAAAAAAAAAAAGAAAAAACGGGCAACGTCGCAAATCAGTCCCTCTTGCAACAATGTTGCAAAACAAGTTGCACGTTGTCGTTGCCCGTTTTGCCATAGCGTTACCACCGACGTACACTTCTCAAAACAATAACTTGGTTATATTCTAGGAACATCTAGATTATGAGCTGGTGCAGTCAACTAATCCTGAATTCAACAAAGCAGTTGTTAGAGTGAATATCTTTAGAGAACACAGGCAAACAATTCAGGTAGATGTTCTTTCTTGTTTTACTGGTACATGGACCTACAACTAAACATACGTTATCGCAAAAATCTCGCGGAGCAAAAAAGGGTCAGAGAGAAAGTAAACGGGGACAAGCCGAAGGGTAAAAATACGATGAAAGAAAAAAGATGAAAGTAGCCACCCCGGGATTTGAACCTGCACCCCAACTTCCACCGGCGCAAAAAGTGAAGCCTCATGCCACATGGGTACACAGGGGACACAAGGGACACAGGGGACACAAAGGGAAACAGGGGATACAGGGGACACAAGGGGACACAGGGAGACACAAGGGACACAGGGAACACAAGGAGACACAGGGAACATAAGGGACACAGGGGACACAGTTGGACAGAGTGGTCACAGGGGGGCACAGGGGACACAAGGGGACACAAAAGGACACAAGAGACACATGAGGACACAAGGTACACAAGGGGACACAGGGGACACAGGAGACACAGGGGGACACAGGGGACACAAGGGACAGAATTGGGCACAGGGGACACCAAGGGACACAAAGGATACAATTGGACACGAGACACAATTGGACACATGGGACACTGGAGGGCACAGGGGACACAATGGGACACGGGGGACACAGAAATAATGCCATTTCGCATTATTTCCGTGTTATTCACTCTCGGACTTTTCTTTGAGATTAACCGCAATTTCACAATAGCAATGCTTACGTTACATATGGTAATAACCTCAAGCGAAGTTCTGAGTCTCTCTACTTTTTTGACCCCTCCAAATCAATAACAAATATCAACTCTCCTTTTATAGTACATTCACCCATCTGATGCGCACAAGCTTGGTCAAGCGGAATTAGTGGTGGTTGACGAGGCTGCTGCTATACCTTTGCCCCTGGTCAAAGATCTCATGGGTCCTTATCTTGTCTTTCTCTCGTCAACTGTCAACGGGTAAGGTTGAAATTTGTGCTGAAATAAAGGGAATTTCAAAGTAACTTTCTTTCCAGCTGCAGTCAAACCTCCACCTACGGTCACCTCTCCACAACTGGCAATTTTTTTCTGCGGACAGTCTATAAATTGACTCTTGTTTCAACTTCTCTACAACGGCTACTTTCTTCTGTCCCCAAGGTGGCCGTTGTGGAGGGGTTCAACTGTAAAGGTTTTTATAGCTTTCCGAATGCTGATTCATCGAGTGGAGGTACAGTCCCGTTACCTTTGTTAAGTTTGCTTAAGGAACAGTGCAATTCAACTCGGAACTGGGTTGAAGGAAATAAGGAAGGCGTCGTCCAAGAAATTTCTAGCCAAAGGAAAATTTGAACTACAACATATGCGTTTAGGTGGAAGTCTTCGTTACTTTAAATTTTTCAGATATTTGCAATATTGTTTGATAATACAGCAAAGCATTATTTTGTCCACGTGTTCAACCGGATGTTACTAAAACGGAGAACGGGGAAGTGAAAAATGGGAACAGAACAGAGAATTGAAAATAAAGTGACTGATAGGGCTAGGCTTTAAGTTCGGTTTTGATCCTTTTTTTTCATTTTTCCGTTCGTTTGTTTGCTTCCTGTTCCCCAGCCGGTTCCCTGAACTCAGATAGTGGGGAAGACGCAAAGTGAAAGGCGCGCGAAAAGTTGGCGGGGCGCCCTTCCTCTCCCCACTTTCCTCGCGTTTTTTTTTTAATTTTATGTTCGCGTTTCAGCGGACTCGACTATCTCGGAGCCCGGAACACCTACCCGTTGCCCGTTTACCATTTTGGTAACATCCCTGTTGCCGAACGGAAATTATAAGAGTGGTGGGTTCCCTGTAGTAGTTTCTATGGCGCTTTGGATGAAAGCAAATCTGATAGTAGATTTTCCCACCTAGGTATGAAGGAACTGGCAGATCTTTGTCTTTAAAACTCATCCAGCAGCTGCGAGAACAGAGTGCACCCTTAGGCTCGTCATCATCATCATCGCAATCTGCAAACAAAGGAAGCAGTTCCACTCCTCTGGGCCGTACTCTTAATGAGATAACACTGAATGAGTCAATCCGGTATGCTCCAGGAGATGAGGTGGAGAGATGGTTAAATCACTTACTGTGCTTGGATGCTACTGTGGTACAGAAACTTACTTCAGGATGTCCACTGCCTGAAAACTGTGATCTGTATCCTTTTGGCGTTCCATGATGGTGTTATTATTTTTATTTTTTAACTGTATAATTGGGCATATTTAGTTAGCGTAGCAATTTCTGATAGAACGAGGAATTTTCATGGTAGATATGTTCTTTTGCAAGTGCTATTTATATTAGAGTGTAATCGAAATTGCTATAACCCTTTCTGTGCACTAATAAGATGTAGTTTCTCCAGTTGTAGGACTCGTATGACTCATACCGCTCGAAAAGCCCCTCTCAGAAATCTGCTCTCAATTTCTAAGTGTCGCTAAGTAGATGCAATTTCACCAGTTGTACAATTCATACGAGTCGTACTACTCAAAAGGCCCCCCCCTCGACAATTTTGCTCTCAGTTCTTCAAAGTGTCGCTAATAAGATGCCATTTCACCAGTTGCGCGAATTTTACGAGCCGTACCACCGGAAAAGGGCCGCGTCTCTACCTTCACCATATGAACTAATCGCACAATTTGACGACTCGTACCACTTGAATCTTAACTTTTACGACTTGAACAAGTGGACATGAGTGTTACATTAGCCACGAGTGTTCTCTAGATAGAGAACGCGCGAGCTTGAGTCTCCTTTCGCGCGTGGCGCTCGCTCTTAATTTTTCACGATATCCCCCGAATGGAGAGCTTGGTCGCAGGTTATGTTGACATCAGAGTGTTTCTTAAGTTGCAATTATTAAATATGAACGAGGAGAAGTCGATGTTGACTCGAAATGAGTATCCCTAACGCGGTTTATTTTCTCAAGCCGGAAACATAAGCTCGAACTCTCCCCAACATTGGAAAGTTTCGTGTCATAACATTAACAAAATTTTCTAATCTGAATGGCTCTGAGCAGCCTGTTTTTAATATCAATAGGACAGTGTAGTGGGATTATTCACGTCATTGCTAAGTTATTGAACGATATACGTCATCACGCTGGCTGTAATAGTACAGTTGTCATCAATGGATTTCTTTTCTTCCTGCATCTAGCAAAAGACTAAGGGCGATATTTTTCTTTCATCAGCTATCCCTTGTCTAAATTTATTTACAACCGTTTTTGAGATGACTTTTTTTTATACATGACCTTAATGGCATCCTTCAGATATTATGTCAACCGGGACACTCTTTTCTCGTATCACAAAGCATCTGAAGTTTTCTTACAGAGATTGATGGCTCTCTATGTAGCTTCACATTACAAGGTAGTTACTGCAAAGTTGTGTGTAAACTCATAGGACAACTCATCCCCACGTCAAGGCTCACTTCGTGAAACTCATCGGTTCTTTGTTTATTTAGGCCCGATTTCCGCCGCTCTCCCTGACTCGTCCCCGGTCGTCTTCGCATAACGCGCGCGGCGTCACTCTGCGCGCCACTACACCCCACCCAGACCCTTGTTTTCACTAAAACCGCTGGGCGCCAACCCGGTTGAGGTCATTGTTATCTAAGGTTTTCCAGTAATCGAGCCTATGGTTTGTCACGGTAGTGTAGCAACTGGCTTATTAGTCTTCCTATCTGGAGGCCAGTATTTAAGCCCTGGCCATGAAAATGGTACTGTTTGCTTGGACACTGCTCCACTCTGACACACCCCTCACACGTGCGCGATCTATTCACGTGTGTGAATGGTCACGCGTATGTGTAGTCGACTCGTCGTATACTGAAAAATTCTTGAAACCAACTCTTCTTACTGCGCTCGTAGAATTTTATTACTTCTTTTTATCGTGTATTTTTCTAGAACACTCCAAACGACCTGCAGCTATTATCTGATGCGCCTGCGCATCACATCTTTTGCCTGCTGGGACCTGTTGACCCAGCACAGAATATCTTACCTGAAGTTTTCTGTGTGCTGCAGGTATGTGACTTTGTTAACCACGTATATCAGAGGCGGTTTTCATTGTACTGATTTTTGGTGATGGTGCGGAGGTGAAAGTGATGGAAGCTGTAGAAGTCATGTGCTTGAAGGCGGTAATGGTTGTGGTACAAATGGCGCATTCACCTAATGATGTAATAAAGATTGAACTGTATAATACGGACGCTTTAACACAGTAGCTAACCAAAACCAATGATAGGTTTTTGCAACACCAGAAACGACCATTCAAAATGATGATAATTTGACTGTGATAATGAAATAATGATGGCTTGTTGGTGTCAAAAGTGGTGATGGTGGAGGCATTTGTGTTAACGGTGGTGTTGATCATTAATGATGATGATGATGATGATGATGATGATGATGATGATGATGGTCGCCAGTGTTGATCTTGATGATGGTGGCGGCGTTGTGGTTATTTTGTTGAGGTGGTGATGGCGGTGGTGGTGGTGGTGGTGGTGGTGGTGATAATGATGGTAGCAGTGATGATGAAGATGATGGTAGTTATGGAGATGATGGCATCGTTGAAGATGACGATGGTGGTGGCGATAGCAGTTGTGGTGATGAGGGCGGTAATGATTATGATGATGATGATGATAGTAATGATGATCGCAATAACGGAAGTGTGGATGGAGAGTGTGGTAGTCGTGGTAGTAACGGCGGTGGTGATGATGGCAGTAGGTGCGTTAACTTGTGTTGTTAATGGTAGAAGCTGAGTTTCACTCTCTCATTTCAGGTGTGTTTGGAAGGCGACATTTCCAAGTCTTCCATCATGAACAGTCTGTCACGTGGCAAAAGAGCATCTGGTGATCTGATACCTTGGACAGTGTCACAGCAGTTCAATGATCATGACTTCGCCGGTCTTTCTGGGGGAAGAATTGTTCGAATTGCCACCCATCCTGACTTCCAAGGGGTATGCCTACTTAAAATTGTTCCACCACTGATTTTCTCCCCATTTTCTACCTTATTGTGTTCGTCATTCTCCTGAACTTGTTGCCCGAAAAGACTTGGGTAGAAAATTGTGGTAGTGTAAAATAGTGTACATTTTTCCTTGTATTATTTCCTCTAACTAAACATTATATAACAGCATAAAGGTGCAGGGCAGTAGCTTTTGAAAGTTTTCCTATTTTCGTACCACATGCAGAGGTTCAATGGTTTACCCATCTAATTTGGGCTTACGGATAATCGCAAGAAACCGTCGTTTCCGTTGGCTTAAAAGTCAATGTTCGACAATCCACGTCCACGAACTTATGACCTTCAATAAAAACTAGTTAATTAGAACAAATTGATGAAGCATAATAAAGTCGATAAACAACATTCACGGCAAACGCTGCGTAACACGGAGAAAATCCGATCGTAATTTCCAAAAAACGTTTGAGAACTTTCCTCTTGATGATTGGCGTGGCTACATCAAACTCTTCAAAGAGAGTTTCATCGCTAACTAGTAAGGTTTAAGTGGATTTTAAAATCCACGCCTTTTCATCCCTCCTCCCCCCCCAGACAGACACACACACCCACACCCCGCCTCTCCATCAGTACTCCGTCTTACGGGTGTTTAAAGCAAGTTAAAGCTACTCGGAAAGGAAAGAAGACGAAAGAAGGATTTGAGGTCACACCTGGGAATCGAACTCGGGACTTCACGCACAGAATGCCGCGCACCAGCCGACTGCGCTAATCCTTCCTCCTAATATGGTGCTTTAATAAGCAACGACGACGACGACGACGGCAACAATTAAGAACGGCAAAGAAAATAGGTTTAGATTCAATTTGGCAAAACAACAACTTTGCACGTGCATCACGCTTTTTTTGTACCTTTCTTTGCCGTAATTGCACGACTACAGCAATGAAATTAGAGGTTTTTAGGAGGTGCGTACCATTCCCGACTACCACCTGAAACTGCCTTATTTCAAGTTTTGTATAGGACGTGAACACAAGACAACGACTTTCTTTTTCTTTTCCTGAACTTCGATACAGTCCTTTAGAATTCAACTCCAGAAAAATTTGCCAACATTTGACGAATTGAACGAGATGGAATAAGCGCGATAAGTTTGAAGCAGCGCGAATTCTCTTTTTAAGTGACGTTTTTGTAGCCGTCGTCGTCGTTGGTGCTTAAGCTCCTTAATATCACATAAAACATCCTTTCTCGTGTTGATAGAGTACTATCTTGTGATAAATGCCATCACTGGATACTGTATTACAGTAGTAATCATAACTATGACAAAATTCTCAAATCTGATTGGTTCTCAACTGCCCTGATTTCAGCCTTAATAGGACAGTTTGATAGGACAGTACGCGTCATGCCTAAGTAATTGGACAGTACGCGCCATCACGCGCGCGCTTAAATGGCTTTTTTGTTTTCATTGCTAGCGAAAAAATCGTGGAATTTCTTGTGTTTTGATTTAAAAAGAGCCCTATATATCTCGTGATTAAACAAATCGGACTCCCGCTACGCGGTCGTCCGATTTTGTTAATCACTCGTATGATTACAGACCGAATTGGACTGCACTCAGTCCTGTTACCATTACAAACGACACTGAGATTCCATTCGCTGACTCAAAAGCACTATTTTAACAAATTCAATGCTGGCATTTTCCGTTTTCGTCACAGATGGGATATGGTCGACGAGCAATGAACCTCCTTATTCAGTATTATGAAGGAAATATTCCCAGTTTAGCTGAGGAGAGTAAAGAGGAAAGGCAAATTCCAACATTAACTGAGGACGAGGATTTTGGTTTGCTCAAAGAGGTCATATCCCCCAAAAGCAATCTACCACCTCTGTTGTTAAAACTGAGTGAAAGACCTGCCGAACAACTTGACTACCTTGGGGTGTCATATGGCCTGACAGGGCAACTGCTTAGGTAATCGTATAACGTGCAGTAAACCGAAGAAATAGAGCTTATACATGACTTATAAGACAAAACACTAAGGGTGCGTTGGATTGATCGTATTCACGAATAAGAATACGCAAACGTTTTGTTACAAATCCCTTTTATCGTGATTTTTGGACTGCTTAAACGCTACATACATCGGAATATTTTATTTCAAGTAGATTTCTAGATATTGCAATGCTCTGAATGCCAAAATAAGTGATTTCTGGAGTTTATTCCATCTATTCTTATCACAGAATACGACACAATCGTTATCATTGGAGAGATTTACAGTCACTTTTAAGGTAAACAACAAACGGCCATTTGTACCACGTGACCAAGTTTTCCATTGATAGATTTGGGAAAGACAACGGGACAACATTGAAGACAACGCGCGCAGATCTAAAAACCGAAATGACCAATGGCAGAGCGGGATCGGAAGTCGCGTCCAGTCCTTTCCGCACGCTTTCGCGTTCTCATTTACCATTGCATCATTATCGATCATCTTTGTCGTGTTTTTTACCATCAGCTACCCCTTCCTTGAAATTCAAATTACAAACTGTGTCACGTGTTGTAGACATACAGTGTACTAGAAAACCAGTTCAGAGACGTAAACACAAAAAAAACGTCGTTGAAGTTTTATGCATTAAAGTATCGTGCCATTCATCTTGGTAAATAGAAATTGATCAATTTTATGTCGTACCCAGTACACGAGATATTTGATCAACTGCAACGTAATGAAGAAAATCAAAGCTAAAAAAAATGGCAGTTGTGCTAGCCACAACATTTGTTTTACTCGCTTCTTTCCAAGTTATGACGGAGGATTGAAAAAAATGCGTTTTGATTTTTTTTGTTATAGATTTTGGAAGAAATCAGACTTTGTTCCAGTCTACTTGCGGCAAACTCCGGTAGGTTAATAGCTTTGATACGTAAGGTCGGTGAAAGTCATTAAGAAGAAGGTGAAAGTGAGGGAATTATCATCATTCAAATATAGCTCGCATTAAACGTAGTGCTACTGCCATGTCAAACTCAATTCATTTATTATAAATGCGTTCAACTAAGAAGAAAACGTTTTAAAGGTTAAGGTCTATGCTTTGTTTTCGACGACAACTACTTAATTAGACTGAATTTAATTGGACGTCTGAAACCAAGTCACGCTACAATCTCGCTACAGTCCTGCTAAAGTCGATCCAGCTTCGCATTGCAGTATCGCGACGTTTGAAACAGGCCCAAGTGGCAACCCTTAACTTATTGAACGATTATTTTCTGCTTTGAGGCAGAGTTTTTGTAAGTTTTATATTCACTGTATTCTTATTTGTAGAATGATTTGACAGGCGAACATTCTTGTATTATGCTGAGACTTCTCAATGACTCAGAAGAGGCCTCTAGGGAGAACTGGCTTCAAGCCTATATGGCAGGTAAATTGAAAAAGAGTACCTAGTATATACTGCTACAATGAGTCGAGTATAATGGATGATTATCCACTTACAACGTTGAACTGTGTTTATCAACGGCATAAGGGAAAGTCAAGTGCGCAAGTCCGTGATGTACGTTACAACAGCGCATAGTTCCATGATGTAAGCCCAGCAACAGAATCTTGCAATAAACAGCTTCTTGAGTAAGATTTCTTTGTTAAAAGAAGTTGCGTTTTTGTGTTTTCGTGTGAAGTTTCCTTTTTGCGCATTTCAAACGCACTTTCGGTCAGGGACTGTAGGCTTTTAAAGCACGTGAAAGTTGAACGGGATTCGAACCCATGACCTCTGCGGTACCGCAACAGTGCTCTCAGTACCGAGCTATCAAGCCAATTGGGGACTAGGAGCTGTATGCCACATGACTTCGTAATGTTCCAATAAGAGGTGGAGATATTAAAGATGATGTTCTTTTACGTGATCGATGATCTCTCACGTGTTAGATCGTTCTCCTTCAGTTTACGTATATGAAATTTTTTATGGTAATTTCGCAGTTAAGATTTTGTTGGGGAATAGTTTAATTAGCTTTCAAGGATGTGAATAATTAACAACTATTGGACGAGGCTGAGTATCATCTGAAGAATTATGGAGATTGAGGAGGGTGTTATCCGCCGAGGCCGATTAACACCCGCGGAGATCTCCATAATTCTTCAGATGATACGAAAGCCGAATTCAATAATTGTTTTATTATTCATTCAAAATAATTTCTAGTTTAAAAACAAGCTAAAACATGCTTACCTCCATCGATGTTAAATTCATCTTCAATTACCTGTTTATCGGCTAGTTTAGAAGATGAAGGGTTGTTCAGTACTGCAAATATTCTCCAAATAGCAGATGTCGTCCCTCGAGTTGTCTTCATGCTGTTTTTGCTATGTATTTAGCCAATAGTTCGCTATTGCTTCCTCGTGAAGTGAGTGAAATGTTCCGCCATATTGTACTCACTACCAAAACAACTCAACCGCATCCCCAGGTCTTCTCAGTTAACTGTTCAATAATCTGGCAATTTTGCTGCACAATTGACGTTATTTTTCACATACCGCAAAATTCTTTCAAATTTGGTCGACAGTAGCTGGTTATGACGAATTATGCGTGGGATTTTAGCCAATCAGAAACTGAGAAATATTTTGAATGAATAATAACTCGTTTCATTTGATTATTTACGTGTAATGAAGTACTTTTATATGCCTGTTTATTTTACCTTTTGTCCAGACTTCCGCAGAAGGTTCCTGTCGCTTCTTTCCTACCAGTTTCGCAGTTTTCATCCATCACTGGCGTTGAGTATCCTGAAGAATAAGAGCGTCAAAGAAGAGAAGAAAGGTTAGGATGACCATCAGTATGCCGCACTGGACTCGATGCTGTTGCCCCGTTAGCTCTAATGTGGAAGAGATAAAGAACACTCCCTTCTTCAAGTTCTTCAAATGTTTCTCACCGCGACTTGAAAGGCAGCCGGGGCTGAATGTTAGTTTGCGAGCAAGCTCTCTGGGGGCGAGGGACAGCACCCGGGATTCAGCTAAAGGAATCCGGAATCCCGCTAGCTCTCCGGGGAGGCTCTGGGGACGGGGGACAGCGCCCGGGATTCTGCTAAAGGAATCCGGAATCACGGTAGCTCTCCGGGGTTGCCTGGGGGCGGGAACAGCGGTATTCAGCTACAGGAATCCACAATCCCGCGAGCTCCCCGGGGGGCTCTAGGAACGGGGGACAGCACCCGGGATTCAGCTACAGGAATACGGAATTACGTTAGCTCTCGGTGGGGGGGGGGCTCTGTGGACGGGAGACAGCACCCGGGATGCAGCTAAAGGAATCTGGAATCCCTCTAGCTCTTTGAGGGACTCTGGAGGTGGGGGACAGGAATAGAGCCCGCCAGAGAGCTTTCTCGCAGGCTAGCTGAATGTATTTCACCATGACTAAATAAAGACTATTGTCAAATGGGAAAAGTAGTTGAACCACTGGAAGAAAGGATTCTCACTGTGAATGCTTTTTAGGTTTAACAAAAGGAGACTTAGAAGCAGTACTTACGACGTACGACATTAAAAGACTGGATCTTTATTCACGCAACATGGTGGACTATCATCTTATTACAGATCTACTCCCAGCAGGTAAGAGATTAAGAATGTATAAATTGTCTGGTTTGCCACACTAATTACAAAAAATATAGGAAAAGAAGAAGAAGAAATAAAAAAAAAAAAGAAGTGGCGAGGAGACCTAACAGAAACTATAGGAGCTTATGAGAGGTTAGGCCTCCTCGAACTATGAGCTAGAGCTGTTTCACATCAATTGAAGAGAAGAAGGCTCATACTAAGGCAATGTGTCCCCGTGCATTCTTTCGCATCGTCAGTTTCTCAACTTTGTAAAGGGATGTAAACAGATGGTTATTTAATCCTGCCAACACTACTGAGCTATACACCGCTATTCTGAGTTATGCACTTCTCTGAAGAGATTTACAATTGCGCTGAGATATACTGAGCTAGACGTTGTTATACAGAGCTGCAGACCGCTTTCATGGGCTGCTGATAGCTATCCCTGCCTATACACGTCTATACTGACAGAGTACTTTATTGTACACAACAATACACAGCTTTTTCATATGACTGCTTCCGCGAGAGGGCAAGGTGGAGCGAATCCTGAGTTCTGATTGGCTACCTGAGCGGGAGAGATAGGCTCATCTTGCCCGCTTGGGATTTTCAGTGTAAGAAAAAAAAAAGATCTTTTGGCCATGTAGTTAACCCTCTATCAACCAAGCCTCATTCTTGTTTTTTTCTTTGTGTTTTTATGGATTTTCTGTCTGTCTCGGTCCACTAAAATACAAAAATAAGAACTTGGCCAATACCCAGCCATCATGACTTCACGCTTGGTCAAGAATGCATATATACCAAACCGTACACCGCTATCCCGAGCCGCGGGCCACTATACCAAGCTTTCCACCGCTTTGTTTAGCAACGTTGTCAGTGGCAGCGTCTTTCTCAGTCTTTCTGTCACACTCTCTTGGTTGGGGAGTTTAAAGACCCTTCAGAGGAGGTTGTTTAGTGCATTGTGCACCGCTTAAAGGGGCTGTACACAGCTTTTCTAAGTTCACAGTTATATGAAGCTGTACACAACACTCGCTTATTATCACTGGTAAAAGTTTTAAAAAGCGTCATAATAAAAAGAGTATTGCGAGGAAGTACACTGTAACGGAAAGTGAAATTACTTCCTCTAAACTAATCACCCCATATTTCTTGCCTTCACAGTTTCTAGGCTCTTTTTCCTTCAGAAGCTGGACTTTGATCTTTCTGCCGTGCAGTCCGTAAGTTGCCTAACTCACATATAACTTAACTTTAAGAAAAAAACTGTAGAAACACCTCTTACTTAACTTGTTCCTTCCCCTCCATCGTCCCTTTGTCAGCTTTGTGTTTTTTTTGTGTGTATTTTCTTTATCTCTTTTTTTTTATACCTTATTCCTTCCTATTATTGTTACTCTGCCTTCGCCGTTCATTTAAATAATATCAAGTTTATCTTTTGTAATTAAATAATAGGGAAATCCCACGTTATATATGCCTAATGGTTCCTTTGGGCTTTCTTGCCATATTCTAACGGATTGCTGTAGTTTATTACTATGTCATGATAAGGTGGTGGAATAAAAAGAAAATTTCCATTGCCATTGACTTCAGTGTCTGATCTCCTCTGCTGAGTTCCTTCTCTACTGTTTCACTTGCTAATTATTTCTTTCTTTTGAACAGGCTCTTCTACTCGGTCTTGGACTACAACACAAGACTATAGAAACCCTTGAGGTACTTATAAGATCTTAATTCAAATTATCACGATCAATTTCAACATATAACATATTTTTCCTGTGTGTGCTTCTTGTAGAAAGAATTAGAATTGCCTTCTTCGCAGCTACTTGGTCTCTTCAACAGAACAATAAGGAAAGTTGTACAGGTAAGAACTGATGTTCCTGTTGTGTTCTTTATTGTGTGTCAGTGGGCTTCACATAGCCTTCGAGCCGAGAGAGAACGCGCGTGCGAGCCGCCCCTCGCCCTGCCTCTCGTCTCCTTTCGCGTGCTACTCTCGCGTGACCTCTCGTGGCTCCCCCAGATGGAGAGCTCTCTCGCTGGCTAGAAAGCAGCCTACATTTCGCCGAACCAATAACGAGGTTTCCCGCGAGATGGCGTCTCAGGAAACTAGCGCAGAAATTCCATTCTGATGACGTGTCACTACCCAGATGTAGGCCTTATTGATACTTTTTAACAATAAGTAATGTTTAGACATCACGGCTGGCTAAATTCAAGACGGTTTACAATGCCATTTTGTTAAACACCGTCTAAATTCTGCCGACCTCTCTTGGATGGCTCACTTCTGGCTTAAATTTTTGTTTGCAGTGTTTTAACGCAATTCTAGAATCCGCCTTTGAAAGTCAAGTTACGAAGTCAAAAGAAGTAACAATGGAACCATTAGCTCAAGGACTCCAAGAAGATCTGGTGAGTGCTTTCCACCCCAGCCGAGTTCACTATACAAAAATAGTAACATATGCGACCCTGTTAATTTAAATCAAGGCTTTGTTACGCCGCGGCTTTAGACAGTCAATAGACCTCAGTCCCGGTTTGTTAATAGGCTGTTTATTTGAACTAGTAAATGGTCTTGAAGTCTGCACTTTTTGCCTTGTTGACAAGGTTAAGAGAAGACTTAACCACCCGTAGGGATATTAGAAACGAGAACATATCTTCCTCACCAGCGTTTCTCGCCGACTTCACTGCAGTCTGAAAAATCCCGCGGTAATAATGCCCGCTCTCCTACAAGAGAATCTGCTCGTATGTCCTCCGCAGCGGCCAACTGGGAAGAGGAGAACAGTAAGGGGGCTGGGGACGATCATCGTCCACCGTGCGCTTTTTGTTTTACATATCTCTGTTTCCTCTGCAGAGTTTGGCACTATGGTACTGCAAATTTAATATTATATAATTTTATTTATTAATTTTGTTTTATTTTTAAATACCTATTTTTCAACAGGAAGAAGCAGCAAAGGAAATGAAAGAGAAACAGCAGAAAGAATTGGAGAAGCTTAAACATCTTGACCTCAGCGAGTAGGTTTACGTCCTTTCTTCAGTAAAACCCTTATTTTTGACGAAACCCCGAAATAAACAGTGGAATTCTTTTTCCCAGTTATTGGCCGTTTTGAGGCGCTTGGGACTGGGTCGGTGTTGTATCGCATTGCATTATGGTACTGTCTTAAGGGACGGGTGTTTTTTGGACCCAGTTTCCGTCGCAACTTCGTAATGGCCGATGAAAGAAGAAATAGCATTTCGGCTCCACCACGCAGTACAACATGAATCGAAAATCATTAGGCTTATTTTGGCTGTTTCGGACGAGGACCAAGTAATATAAAAATACGTTATACTACAACTTCTATTACATTCAAAAATGTCGTAGATAAACTAGACCAGAGCTGAGCGACAGTTAACAGAGAATACTGTCAGAACGGAGGCCGGAAAAAAACCCAGTAGGGAAAAAACTGGGTTAGGATCCGTGGCTCTTGCTCTGAAAAGCCCATCCTACGAAGGCTGCACGGTTCAAACGTACTTCCAGCAAAGCACTATGAA